TTACTTTCCATTTATCAACATTGAATTTCATCTGCCATTTTGTTGCCCAGTCACCCAGTTTTGTGAGGTCCTTTTGTAGCTCTTCGCAGTCTGCCTGGAACTTAACTATCTTGAGTAGTTTTGTATCATCCGCAAATTTTGGCACCTCACTATTTACCCCTTTTTTTCAGATCATTTATGAATATGTTGAATAGAACTCGTCCCAGTACAGACCCCTGGGGGACACCACTATTTCTCTCTCCATTCTGAGAACTGACCATTTATTCCTACCCTTTGTTTCCTATCTTTTAATCAGTTACTGACCCATGAGATGACCTTCCTTGACATATCCCATGACAGCTTGCTTTGCTGAAGAGCCTTTGTTAGGGGAGCTTGTCAGTCTTTCTGAAAATTTAAGTACACTATATCCACTGGATTTCCCTTGTCCCCATGCTTGTTGGCCCCCTTAGCAAATTCTAGTGAATTTGGAATGATTTCCCTTTACAAAACACATGTTGACTCTTCCCGAACACATTGTTAATTTATGTGTCTGACAGTTTTGTTCTTTACTATAGTTTCAACCAGTTTATCGATACTGAAGTCAGGCTTACTGGCCTGTAGTTGCTAGGATCACCTCTGGAGCCCTTTTTAAAAATTGGTGTCAAATTAGCTATCCTCCAGCCATTTGGTACAGAATCTGATTTAAATGATAGGTTACAAACTACTGTTATTAGTTGTGCAATTTCACATTTGAATTCCTTCAGAACTTTTGGGTGAATACCATCTGTTCCTTGTGATTTATTACGGTTTAGTTTATCAATTTGTTCCAAAACCTCCTCTAATGACACCTCAATCTGGGACAGTTCCTCAGATCTATCATTTAAAAAGAATGGCTCAGGTTTGGGAATCTCCCTCACATCCTCAGCCGTGAAGACGGATGCAAAGCATTCATTTAGTTTTTCCCCAATGGCCTTATGATCCTTGTGTGCTCCTTGACCAGATATAGATTGGAGGACAAGTGCTAATAATAGGAGGGCCAGATATTCCTGGATGTGATAGCTGACAGATTTCTTCAACAAATAGTTGCTGAACGAACAAGAGGTGACACCATTTTGGATTTGGTATTAGTGAGTAATGAGGACCTCATAGAAGAGCTGGTTCTAAAGGACAATCTTCGTTCGAGCTATCATGAGTGAATTCAATTTAAACTAAGTGGAAGGATAAACAAAAACAGATCTGCAACAAGGGTCCCTGTTTCAAAAGAGCTAACTTTAAAAAATGAAGGGAATTAGTTAAGGAAGTGGACTGGACCAAAGAACTCAAGGATATGAATGTGGAGGACGCTTGGAATTACTTTATGTGAAAGTTGCAGAAGCTATCTGAAACCTGCACCCCAAGCATGGGGAAAAAATTCATAGGCAAAGGTTGCACACCAAGCTGGATGAGCAAGCATCTCAAATAGGTGATTAAGAGAAAATACAAAGCCTACAAGGAATGGAAGATAGGAGGGATCAGCAAGGAAAGCTACCTCTTGGCAGTCAAAGTGTAGGTATAAAGAGAGAACTGCCAAAAGCCAAGCAGAGTTGAACCTTGCAAAGGGAATTAAGACCAATAGTAAAACATTCTATAGCCATATAAATAGAAAACAAGGAAAGAAGAAGTGGGACCCCTAAGCACTGAGGATAAAATGGAGATTAAAGATAATCTAAGCATGGCCCAACACATACTTTCCCTCAGTTTTTAATGAGGCTAATAAAGAGCTTAGGGGTAGTGGCAGGGTAACTAATGGCAACGAAGATATGGAGGTATAAATTACCTCATCCAAGGTGGAAATCAAACTCAAACAGTTTAATGGGACTAAATTAGGGAGCCTGGATAATTTTCATCCAAGAATATTAAAGGAATTGGCACATGAAATTGCAAGCCCAATAGCAAGGATTTTTAATCAATCTGTAATTTTGAGGGTGGTACCCTATCACTGGAGAATTGCAAATATAGTACCTATATTTAGGAAAGGGAAAAAAGTAGTCCAGGAAACTACAGACCTGTTTGACCTCAATTGTATGCAAGGTCTTGGAACATATTTTGAAAGAGGAAGTAGTTAAGGACATAGATGTGGACAGTAAATGGGATAAAATGCAACATAGTCTTACAAAAGATATTGTGCCATACCAACATGATCTTTTTCTTTGAGAGGATGACTGATTTTTTTTTTTTTTTTTTTTTTTAGAGAAAGGAAATGCAGCAGACCTAATCTTCTTGGATTTCAGTAAGGCCTTTGGATACAGTTCCACATGGGAAATGATTAGTTAAACTAGAGAAAATGGGGATTGATATGAGAATTGACAGGTGGATACGGAATTGGTTAAAGGGATGACTACGACGGGTCATACTGAAAGGTGACCTGTCAGGCTAGAGGGAGGTTACTAGTGGAGTACCTCAGGGATCAGTCTTTGGACAAATCTTCTTTAACATTTTTATTAAATAACCTTGGCACAAAAAGTGAGAGGGTGCTAATAAAGTTTGCAGACGACACAAAGTTGGGATGTATAGCCAATACAGAGGAGGGCCGGAATATCATACAAGAAGATCTGGATGACCTTGTAAACTGGAGTAATAGAAATGGGATAAAATTTAATAGTGCAAAGTGCATTCAGGGACTAACAAGAAGAATTTTTGCTATAAGATGGGGACTTATCAGTTGGCAGCAACAGAGGAAGAGAAAGACCTGCATATATTGGTTGATCACATAATGACAATGAGTTGTCAATGTGATGGGACCATGAAAAAAGCTAATGAAGTCCTAGGATGCATCAAGTGAGGTATTTCGAGTAGAGACAGGCAAGTGTTAGAACCATTATACAAGGCACTGGTGAAACCTTAGCGGGAATACTGTGTGCAATTCTGGTCTTCGATGTTTAAGAAGGATTAATTCAAACTGGAACAGGTGCAGAGAAGGGCTACCAGGATGATTCGAGGAATGGAAAACCTACTTTATGAGAGGAGACTCAAAGAGCTTGGCTTGTTTAGCCTAACCAAAAGAGGGCTTAAGGGAGATATGATTGGTTTCTATAAATACATCAGAGGGATAAATACAAGAGAGGGAGAGGTGTTATTTAAGGTAACCACCAATGTGGACACAAGAACAAATGAATATAAACTGGCCATCAACAAGTTTAGGCTTGAAATTAGGCAAAGGCTTCTAACCATCGGAGAAATGAAGTTCTGCAACAGCCTTTCAAGGGGAGCAATGGTGGGGAAAAAACCTAACTGGCTTCAAGACTGAGGTTGATAAGTTTATGGAGGGGATGAAATGATGAGATTGCCTATAATGGCATGTGGCCCATTGGAGACTGCCAGTAGCAAAAATCCCTAACTGCTGGAGACAGGACACCAGATGGGGAGGGCACTGAGTTACTACAGATAATTCTTTCCCAGTTATCTGCCTGGCGGATCTGGCCCACATGCTCAGGGTCTAACTGATCACCATATTCGGGGTCAGGAAAGAATTTTCCCTGGGTCAGATTGGCAGAGACCCTGTGGGGTTTTCACCTTGCCCTGCAGCATGGGGCACGGGTCACTTACCTGTTTAAACTAGTGTAAATGGTGACAGGTTTCAGAGTAGCAGTCATGTTAGTCTGTATCCATAAAAAGAAAAGGAGTGCTTTTGGCACCTTAGAGACTAACAAATTTATTTGAGCATAAGCTTTCGTGAGCTACAGCTGACTTCATCGGATGCATACCTTATCTAGTTTTTGTAAAGTCCAGCCACGAGGAAGCTTGTGTGGAAGGTTGTTTTTTAATCCAGTTTTGAGAGCTCATTCTTAATCTTTCCCTGTTTGCTGTAGACTATGTTGATCAAGTGGTTCCGCAGCTTCTTTGAGAGTGTGTGGCACAAGCTGTCAGCATAGTCTGTGTGGTATGTTGATTGTAATGGATTTTTTACCTTCAGTCCTTTTGGTATGATGTCCATTTGTTTGCATTTGGAAAGGAAGCTCATGTCTGTCTGTATCTGTACAAGTTTTTTCATAAAGTTGATAGATTTCCACTCTATATGGCTAAATTCAGTGCCTTGCATAATGACAGGTTTCAGAGTAGCAGCTGTGTTAGTCTGTGTCTGCAAAAAGAAAAGGAGTACTTGTGGCACCTTAGAGACTAACAAATTTATTTGAGCATAAGCTTTCATGAGCTACAGCTCACTTCTTCAGATGCATGGTGAAGTCTTTAAAACATGATTTGAGGACTTCAGAAACTCGGAGAGAGGTTGGGGTCTATTTCAGGAGTGAATGAGGTTCTGTGGCCTGCAATATGCAGGAAGTCAGACTAGATCATAATGGTCCATTCTCACCTTGAAGCCTGAGTCTTAAACTGTCTGCTCTTTGACAGTATTACCATCTTAGATTCTGCCTTGAGATGACCACTGAATAAGGTCAACATGGGTCTGTGAAGAGTAGGGAGATAATGGAAAAGCAAACCAGGGGTCACCAAATGAAATTAACAGGTAGCAGGTTTAAAACAAACAAAAGGAAGTATTTTTTTTTTTACCTAATGCACAGTCAACCTGTGGAACTCTTTTCCAGAGGATTTTCTGAAAGCCAAGACACTAACAGGGTTCAAAAAAGAACTAGATAGATTCAAAAAGGATAGCTCCATCAATGGTTATTAACCGAGATGGGTAGAGATGGTGTCCCTAACCTCTGTTTTCCAGAAGCTGGGAATGGGCGACAGGAAACGGATCATTTGAAGATTACCTCTTCTGTTGATTCCCTCTGAAGCACCTGGCATTGGCCACTGTCAGAAGACAGGATACTGGGCTAGATGGATCTTTGGTCTGACACAGTATAGCCACTCTTATGTACACAATCCCTAAACACGGACTTAAGTTATTTGCAACTGATCAGTAATTTCTAGAAATTGTGTTAATTACTTTATAAAATGTATATTAACTACAGTGACTAAAATAAAGCCTTCATTTTCTTACCAAAACACTAATATATTCTTTACCTGTTTGTTTGTTTTAGGTTGGAAATCTTCCAAATGATTATAGGATAGCCCTTAGGTATGTTCAGAAGATGGATACTCTGGTATGTACAATTACTTGAAATCAATCCCAATAAAATAGCCAGGCAATGATGGCTGCAGCTCTATATGTCTTGGACCTCAGTGCTTCAGTCACATAAAATCTTGCTAATTACAGAAATCTTGCAAAAACTTTCAATTTTTTTAGGCCTTTTCTTTGGGAAATAGTTTTCAATCATTTTCCACTTTATTGAGTGGGAATGGGGAACATACTGTTTATTTGGATAAATAACTTGTTTTTATCTATGTTGGAGAAGACACTGTACAATGTTTTGTGGCAAGCGCATGTCCACCATATGTACGTAGGAGGCTGCTAAAAAAATAGAAAATACAGAGACTGATAGTTACTGAAACTATTTCCTTAATGAAGCTTCTGAGGGATTAGGACAATATTGTATTTCACTCACGTAATGATTTGCATCACTCTTTTTCCTGCATAATACTGTAGTTTATAACCACTCTTAAAATATGCTTTTTAAAAACTTTACAAATCATGTGATGATCTAAAGAATACACACTTGCAAATATTGTCTTTGGGTGATCTGATATTAGTTCTGGTTTTAAAGTTTCCCTCAAATTCATTTTATGAAGGATTACATTTGAAAGATTGCTACACTGACATAAGCTCAAAATTTAAAAAAAATAAATATAATGATTTGGGAAAGCCCTGGTATAGACCTCTTTAGAGTGGAAGAAGTGCCAAAAGTGTAAGTTACTTTGAGCAATATACCAAACTAATGCCTGGCTAATGATAGCCCAATGACCATATGATCTAAGCCATTACTTGCATTAAAAGAAGATCTAGCAATGCAGAAAGGAACAAGAGAGTATAGGAGAATGAACAACAAGAGGAACGATAGCATAAGTACCACTGACAGTCACGGCAGTCACGTAGGCAATACTGGCAGTAAAATGATTGTACCTAATTAGGCAAGAGATCTGGATGAAGCCAAGCAGAAACAACTAAGATGTCTGTGCACCAATGCAAGGAGCCTGGGTAACAAAAAAGAGGAAACAGAACTACTGTTGCAGGAAGTGAAACCGAATATTATAGGGATAACAGAAATATGTATGGTGGAATAATAGTCATGACTGGAATACAGAAATTGAAGGGTATGTGCTGTCCAGGAAAGACAGAAATAAAGGTACAGGGGGAGGAGTACATAGTATATTATGACAAGGTAGATTATTAAGAAATTAGAAGTGATGTATAAAACAATCTGTTGGACAAAATCACTTTGGGGAACAAAGGTAACTGAGGCTCCAATAGAATAGTGCTTGGGGTCTGCTACAGACCCCCGGGATCTGATCTGGATATGGATAGAGACCTCTTTAATGTTTTTAATGAGATAAATACTACTGGGAACTGTATGATTATGAGGCTTTTATTTCCCAGCTATATATCAGAGAACAAGGACTACTCACAAAGGTAGGGTCAGATATTCCTGGATCTGATAGCTGACAGATTTCTTCACTAAATAGTCACTGAACCAACAAGAGGTGATGCCATTTTAAATTTAGTATTGGTAAGAAGCAAAGACCTCGTAGAAGAACTGGTTGTAAAGAACAGCTTTGATTTGAGTGATGAGTTAATTCATTTTAAACTAAATGAAAAAATAAACAAATACCTCTGCAACTAGGATCCTTGATTTCAAAAGGGCAGACTTAAAAAAAAAATTACAGATTTAGGGAAGTGGACTGGACTGAAGAACTCCAGGATCTGAATGTGGAGAAGGCTTGGAATTACTTTAAGTGAAAGTTACAGAAGCTATTTGAAGCTTGAATCTCAAACAAGGTGAAAAAAATGTAGGTAATGGTTGCAAACCAAACTGGATGAACAAGCATTGCAGATTGCTTATTAAGAGAAAGCAGAAGACCTGCAAGGAGTGGAAGAAGAGAGAGATCAGCATGGAAAGCCACCTGTTGGAGATCGGAAAGCATCAGGAAAAAGTGAGAGCTACCAAGAGACCTGCAGAGCTGGACCTTGCAAAGGAAATTAAACCAAAATTGAAAGGTTCTTTAGCCATATAAATAAAAAGAAACCAAGGAAAGAAGGACCACTAAGCACTGATGATGGGGCTGAAATTAAAGATAATTTAGGTATGGACCAACACCTAAATGAGTATTTTGCCTCAGTTTTTAGTAAGGGTAATGAGGAGCTTGGGTTCCATGACAGGGTGACTAATGGGAACAAGGATATGGAAGTAGAAATTACCACATCCGAGGTAGAAGTCAAACTCAAACAGAGTAATTGAACCCAATTGCAGGGCCTGGATAATCTCCATCCAAGAATATTAAAGGAACACACAAATGAATTTAAGCCCAATAGCAAGGATTTTTAATCATCTGTAAACTCGGGGGTCATATTCTGACAGGAGAATTGCAAATACAGTACCTCTATTTAGGAAAGGGAACAAAGGTGATCCAGGAAACTATAGACCTGTTAGTTTGACCTGAATTGTATGCAAGGTCTTAGAACAAATTGTGAAAGAGAGAGTAGTTAGTGATATAGAAGTAAATGGTAATTGGGGGAGAATACAACATATTTTTACAAAAGGTAGATTGTCAGCCCAATCTGATCTCTTCCTTTGAGAAGATAATCAATTTTCTACCCAAAGAAAAATGCAGTAGGTCTAAACTTCTTGGATTTCAGTAAAGTATTTGATAGAGTTCCTTGTGGGAAATTATTAACTAAATTGGAGAAGAGGGGGATTAATATGAGAATCAAAAGGAGGGTAAGGAACTGATTAAAGGGGAGGCTATAACGGGTCATGCTGAAAGGAGAACTGTCACGCTGGAGGGAGGTTACTACTGGAATTCCTCAAGGATCAGTCTTGGGTCAAATCTTATTCAATGTTTTTGTTAATGACATTGGCATGAGAAGTGGGAGCGTGCTAATAAAATTTGTGGATGACAGAACGTTGGGAAGTATTGCCAATATGGAGCAGGACTGGATCATCATACAAGACTATTTGGATTACCTTGAAAACCAGAGTAATAGAAATAGAAATGTAACAGTGCAAAGTGCAAGGTTTTTTGTTATAAATTGGGGATGTATCAGTTGGAAGTGACCAAGGAGGAGAAAGTCGTTCTGTGATCGACCAATACACCCAAATCTATGAGCCATCAATTTGATGTGAGTGTGTAGAAGACTAATGCAATCCTTGGATGCACCCAGTAAGGTATTTCAGTAGAGACAGGGAAGTGTTAGAACCATTATACAAGGCACTGGTGAGATTCATCTGAAGTACTGTGTGCAATTAAGAAAGATGAATTCAAACTTGAACAAGTGGAGAGAAGGGCTAGTAGGAGGATCTGAGGATTGGAGAACCTGCTTTACAGGAGGAGTCTTAATGTAATCAGCTTGTTTAGACTAACAAAATGAAGGCTGAGGGAAGATATAATTGTCTATAAATACATCACAGAGATAAATAATTCCTCTTCCTCCCTGGTATTTAAGTTAAGGAACAAGTTGACACAAGAACAAATGTCTATAATCTGGCCATCAGTAAGTTTAGGCTTGAAATTGATTAAAGATTTCTAATAATCAGAGGAGTGAAGTTCTGGGGAGAAAAAACTTAACTGTCTTCAAGATTGCGCTTGTTAAATTTGTAGAGGGTATGATATGAAACTGTTTACAATGTAACCGATCTGTGACTGCTAGTAGCAGATATTCCCCAGCGGCCAGTGATGGGACAGAAGGGGAAGGGCTCTGCGTTACTATAGAGAATTCTTTACCAGGTGTCTGGCTGATGGGTTTTGCCCACATGCCCAGTGTCTAACTGGTCCCCATATTTGGGGTCAGGAGAGAATTTCCGCCCAGGTCAGATTGGAAGAGACCCTGAGGAGGAGGGGATTTGCCCTCCTCTGCAGTGTGGGGCATGAGTCAGTTGCTAGTTTGAACGAGAGTAAATGGTGGATTTTCTGTAATTAGAATTCTTTAAATCAAGGTTTGAGGACTTCAGTAACTCAGCCAGAGGTTAGGGGTCTATTACAGGAGTGGTTTGTGAGATTCTGTGGCCTGCAATGTGCACAAGGTCAGAGTAGATGATCATGATGGTCCCTTCTGGCCTTAAAGTCTCAAGTCTCTAAATAACTGTGCACATTATATAATATATAAATAGAACATAAGAATGGCCATACTGGGTCAGATCAAAGGTCCATCTAGCCCAGTAGCCTCTCCTCTGATAGTGGCCGATGCCAGGTGCCCCAGAGGGAATGAACAGAACAGGCAATCATCAACTGATCCACCCCGTCGCTCATTCCCAGCCTCTGGCAAACAGAGGCTATGGACAGCGTCCCCGCCCATCCTGGCTAATAGCCATTGATGAACCTATCTTTCTTGAACTTATCTAGCTCTTTTTTGAACCCTGCTATAGTCCTGTATTAGCTGTGTATTATTCAACAGATGTAAAAAGTAACGTTGTTGGCTATCATACTTGTAACTAGAGCTGTGTGAAATTTTCATTATGAAAACCAAAATCATGCACAGTGGACATAGTTCAGTAAATTCTCATTATTGCCAATCTCAAGAGATCAAAAAATCACGTGACTTGCTCAACAATCCATGAGGGCTTGGGGGCTTTTGTTTTTTTGGGGGGGTTTATACCCCAAAAATACAATAGTCTGTCTTATTTTTGAACGCCCGTGCCGACCCTCAATGTGTGTGGCATCAGTGTTGCACTGGGGCAGAATAGATGGTTATGAGTTCTATTGAAGCTTGGAGGTTTGCACGAACCAAAAATCCCAAGTTAACCTCAAGGAGTGCAAATTATACCGGATATCGTAGGCTAATTAAACTCAGCTGAACAAAATATTTTCTTTGCATCATTTGTTATTGTGAGTCCTTTCTGAATCCTATATGGTCTAATATATATTATAGATTACAATTTTTGATGAGTCCCAAACAGCAGTCATCCAAAAACAAGGAAATAGTAACAGGCTGCTGTAGCTGCACATAACATGCTTTCAAATCACAGATATTTGATATCTATCTTCCATGTCTCAAAGATTTACATCGGGGTGGTCTTTAAAAGTTCAAAAGTTAGACTCAACTCTAGCCTCTTATCCTTCCAGATCAGTGAAGTAAACTGACAGAACTATGTGGGAAGTAAACATTAATAGAGAAAACAGTGCAAATAGTGATAGTTTCCAGTTCATCCCATCTGGTACCTCTCATGAAATATGTATTTTAAAAAAAAATCAATACTCTAAGGTTTTTTAAACATTCAATTTAAGATCTTATTACTTTGTCTGTAACTGAAGAGTTTTAAGATCAATTCAGACCAGAAAGTTTTCTTTAATGCCCTGCAGGACGGATTGATTTATATGAAAGTGATTTAAATCACTGATTTTAATCATGTTTTACATTTGTACTTTTCAGTAACTTTGCTAAAGAGAGGATAAGATATTAATTAGTAACTATTTAAAACTTGTTCATTTACCCTAAATTAGGTGTTTTGTTTTTTTTGCTAACTAGGAGTATATCCTATATCTATATATATTTATTTAACAATTATACAGCTTAATTTACATTTATTCAGATAAATAAAAATTGTAAAAATTAACTAAGTTACAAAATAGTGAACAATGCATTTATTATTTACTAGGATTTCTTTGTTTTTTACTTGTGATTTGTGTCAAGCTCTATTTGGAAATTCAAATTCCATTAAAATGCACAAAATAGCATTTAAAAAAAATTAACAAAAGCTACCTTAAAGGTGCTGGATGCATCAAAAACATTATCAAAACATGTTTGTCATTTAAAACTGATTTATTAAATGAAGTAAAAAGTAGAGTTCATGAATTGAACTCATTGTTTCTGGTCACTGGTTCCTTCATGATTTTAGAGCTAGTAGATCTCATCCTCTCATACCCAGTTTTATTCATAGATTGGAAGAAGAAAACAAGGTTTCCTGCTTTTTCAGTCCCATTGGTTTTTACTTTTAATGAACTGAATTGAAGAAAATATTCTCTCTGCATCTGCAGAAGAGGCTACTGCTGTTAAAAAACTGGTGTAGCACTTCAGCAAACTCTAGTTTCAAGTTCTTAACCAATGGCTTCCACAAATTTAGTGCTCTGAGTTTCTCTAAAACTTTGCAGAAAACATGTACTGCTTAATATTATTTTTCATTTAATGCAAAGTTTTAATTATTTAAGACCTAAATTTAATTTGTAAATTTCACATTTAATTTTAAATAGGTTTATTTAAAAGAACTGTGTATTTAATTTTTTTATCTGATTTTTTTAATTGAAAAAATATTGGTTTTTATCCATCCTGATTCCCTGATTTATAAAGTGAACAAGAATGTGACTTTTGTAATCACCAAAACATCATATAATACTATGACCGCCTATAATAGGTAGTAATCTGATTGTTAGTCCAGTTTGCATCCTACATTGATTAGTTAAATATAGTTTAGATGTAATGGTGTTTTGTTTTGGCCCAACAAGTTTCCTTTCAGCAGTATTGCCTTTAGGAATTGGTGGCTATAATACATGCAAACTTTGGCTGTACAATGTATTTCATTAAGTACAGTGCTTTCATGGCCATGGCATCTGGCTGCATCACATCTAAAAACTAACATCCATATGTATTCACAATGAGCAGCAATACTAACTCACCAAGACACAAATAGGAAGAGACAATGCCTCAGTTTAGAGACTTTTGGCAAAGGGTTGGCTGAATAAATGCCCTTTGATTTGGGTTCTGACAGATTCCTGCAAGCAAAGAAACCCATAGCTGGAGCCTCTCCGGCAAATGTTCTGCCTTCAGTCCTGAAAAGTGCACATCTAGGGACTGAGGAAAGTGCCTTACTTTATCAGACACTTTGTATGGTGCATGAAGTGGGAAATGGTATCTATTGTAGCAGCTCCAAAGCTTTATAGATTAAAAGTAGAAAGGTAAATTGCATAGAAAGCAGATGGGAAACCAGCGCAGTGCATGTAACGTGTTCAAACTGACCAACTCCATTAAGCAGAAGGGTTCTTGCATTATGCACTAGCTGAGTAGCTCTCAGAGTAGATCCAAATAGAGTGCATTGCGGAAGTCTAACCTGGAGGTAAAAGGCAAGGTCTGAACCAATGAAAAGAAACTGCAATCTCTTAGCTAAATGCAGAAAGATAAAAGCTTCTACTGCTACTTCCTGGGAGCATAAGAGCAGTCAGGTAAAAAGTACCCAGAAATGTAAATCTCTTTGTCGGGGGCAGAAATAACTAGTACAGATAGAGCAGTGGTAAATTTCTCAGTTCCATTAACTATTTCTCTCTGTCAACTATTATCACATCTGTGCTTTTGAACACACTTCAGCCAGCTTATTCTCATCCCTATCTTTGATCTTTCCCTACTGAGAAAGCAAGGAAAGTGCACAGCTTGTCTCTGATGAGAAGGAAATTTAGAGCTGAATATCATCAGTCTGCTGACAGCATTAGAAGTCAGAGCCCTTCATGACTCTCCTAGAGATCTCACTTATTGAGCAAAAAGGGCAACAAATTAGAATCATGCTGGAAACACAGAATTTTTGTATTCTACATTACAAGATATTGTTTGTAGTGCTGCTCTAGTGGTAGCAGAGTCAGTGCAGGTGATGAGCTGTCTGGACCATTAGGGGTGTGTGGAAGGGCACAGTATCAGACCTGTCCCTACTACAGAATAAAGGTCAACAAGGCTTCTACTCTTTGCTCTTTCTAATGCCCTCCTGTTAGTGCTCCTATACAAATGGAGCGGAGAGGCAAGGCCAGGCATTGTCAATTGCACAATGCCCAAAATGTCACTGTTCGTTACACATTTCCCCATTCCCAGACCTGAAGGAAGAGCTCTGTGTAAGCTCAAAACTTCTCTCACCAACAGAAGCTGGTCCAATAAAAGATATTTCCTCACCCACCTTGTCTAATACCCTGGGGCCAACACAACAACATTACATACTGCTTGTTACATCATTGCATGGGGACTCATACCAGGAGGTATACTGCTTTATGGTTTCTTTTACACAAAAATGACAAAGTTAGTGAAGACTGTAAGGTAAAGCTAAACTGTAAATGTGAACCTGTTCACTAAACATAAAGATTGCTCAATAGTTTATTTAGTCTTAGAAGGTATGCATGTCTCTCCCCCATAAAAATGCAGAAAGGTGAACTTTGTCCATAAATGGTAATGAATAGGAGGTAAACTAGACTAGAAAAGCATTCAGCCCCAAGTGATGCTGATTGAACACAACATATAAGGAATACCAAATTTAACACTTAGTATTGTGATCAATCTCACAAGGTGAAGAAAACCCGGGCATGTCAGTATTTGGATGGAAGAACTCCACATATCATGCAAGGTACTGCAAGAAGTGTTAGAGACAGGCACTGTGCTACTGAAGGCATATCTTCCATATGAGATGCAAAACAAAATCTTGACCACTTGTCACTAAAGATGCCATGGCAACTTTCTCAAGAGCTGGGATAATAGCTTAGTGTACTAGACAAATTCCAGTGTTTTACTTACGGTACTGATATCTACATTATTCTTCACCTTTTAAAAAATCTTTCCTACAATGTGTAATAGAGCATTGTATGGTGAAGGCACAGCTTGTTGTGAAGAGATTTCTATATATAAAGTTGTCAGTATATAAACCTGGCCCCTTCTTATTGAAGAGATCTACTGCCTGTGTGTATTTAGGCATAATGACTTAGGTTTTCTCTCCTTTTTTTACTCATGTTAGTCCTGCTGAGCCAACATAGCTAAGTAAAAGTGTGCTGTATTTTATTACTTCCTGTACATCAACAGAATGATTTACTAGGTTCCAATTACAGAAGCAATAAGCTAAATCTGTGCAAATCCACTGACTTGTGGTTGCACAGGTATCACTTGGGGCATGATTTGAAGACCATGTCACTGCACAGGTGTAATTGAGGTCATAACTTGGCCTCTTGATTCTTTTTATTGGTAAGGGTACATGAGAAGGAAAAACCTCAGGTTGACTTTCATACCCAGGGTGAATTTGTAGGGCTGGCATTTAGTAAAAAAAAGACTGGAGGGGGAAGCAGTTTCTTGTAAACTATGCAGAGTTGCTCAGAAATTAAGAAAACAATCATGGAATCCCATAATGCCAAGTTTAGAAACTTATTTTTCAGAACAGAACCTTAACTCAAAGATCCTCCTGGATTTAAGGTGCTATAAAAGTGTAGGGTAGCAACAGTAGTGAAATGAAGATGAGGAGTATTTTGAAGATTGTCTGGAAAACAATTGTCCAAGAAATAGTCTTTAAAAAAAACAAAAGTAGGTATGATATGGAAGAGTCGGAATAAATGGCCAGTTTCGGCATGGAAAGAGGTAATACTGGAATAGCCCGCAGATCAGATGCTCAAACTGAAGTTTGACATTTATTCCCAAACTGGAAGAAGGGGTAACATTATGCCGACAACTTTGCAGAGAACATAATTAAGTCAGCCAAGATCAAGGAGGATTGTAAGATGCACCAAAAGGACTCAAGAGAACAGCAGGCAACATAATGTTAGTTGAATTTCAATTTAGACAAGTGCAAGATGATGCAAATTGGAAGGAACAATTTAATCTACTTTTACACTCTGTGTTACTTATGCAAAAATTGGTTAAGTGTGGTGTTTAATCTGCCTCTCTTCTTTTTTATCTTCCCTGACAGCCTAATCACTGTTGGTTACATTTGATGGTGCCTGAGTTTTCAAAGAGTCTGCATAATCTTCTGCAAAAATTTTCAGATATGTCTGATGTTTTAAGCAACTATTCAATCATCAATAATCTCACGAGGATAATCAATGATATTATGTCATGTCTAGATTCTGAGAAAAATAAGGTAATCTTCTCAAAGAGCATTTTCCCCTTTATACTGCACAATTATATCTGAATTTTTGTAGCAGAGTACATGACATGTACAAAAAAAGAAAACAACCCTACAACCAAGGCTACTTTAGGTTCTATATTCTTTGTTTCAATTCCTGTTCAATGCAACTACTACTTCCCCTTTAAAGATGTACTGAGTACAATGGAGAGATGTTAGCTATTGGCTACATCAAGTGAGAGAAAAGGTATAAGATAAGGCTAGGATTTTGTCACGGAGATCACAAAGTCATGGAATCTGTGACTTCCAGAGACCTCTGTGACATCAGCCCTGGGGCAGCAGAGCTGGAGCTGTCAGCGCAGTGGGATGCTCTGAGAGGAGTTCCAGGCCTCTGCGGGTCATGGGGTCCCCTCCAGGCTCCAAGCTGAGGCCCCTGCAGCTGCTCCGCTGCCGCTGCCATGGGCGGCGTGGGGACCTTAGAGCCCCAGCAGCGTTGTGTGTTGGATCCTACCCTATCCTTCTCCCTACCCATTTTGTTATGGATATTTTTAGTAAAATCACGTACAGATCACAGGCTTCTGTGAATTTTTGTTTATTGTCCATGACTTGTCTGTCCCTTTTTTGCTAAAAATATCCCTGACAAAATCTTAGCTTTAGGTATAATCACTTAAAAAGCCTCAGAGGGATTACAACGTATAGGATGACCAAATAAACAGATATATTCAATATGTTGTCAGTGCATAGTCCAAACATTTAACTCTCATTCTCAAGGTAAATCAAACTGGTCTATATCAAACAAGCATGAATCATTTTGCATCTAACTTACACTGGAATCCTGAGCATAATTACTAATTTCAATCTAAAAATATCTGAAAAAGACTGCGATAAACTAGTAAGATTATATTAATCAGTCAATTTCAGAAACCTTCATATTGAATTAATGGACCTTTAACCAAGGACAATTATACATGATAGTGGACCTCCCTGATTCCAGTAGTTGCTGGAAGTGCTCCAGGAATCTCACTCCAGGAGTCTGATTCTAGCCTTATTAGGAATGAGAGTAATAAGACTTATTTTTGTTAATAACTTTTATGTGTAAGCCCTGATATATCTAATTGTATTCTGAGTAACATTGCCCAGCTTTGAGTACTCTGTGTATGAGTAAATGGTTTTGTTAATAATTACTTAATTAAAAGTACTAAGTGTGAGATCCAGGCCCTGTTGAAGTCAAGGATTTCACCCTATAGTTACCTTCCATCAGTAGATCTTAAACCACTTACAAAGGTGGGCAAGTGCAATTATTTCTATTTTACAGAGAGAAACAGATGCACAGAGAGGTGAAATGACTTGCCCAGTATCATACAGCAAGTCTATGGCAAACCTCAGAGTAGAACCTGATCTCCTGACCTGCAGTCAGGTGCATTATTTAGTTGCTGTGATGATGATTGCATGTTAGGGTTTTAGTTACCTTTCCATTACAATCCTAATTTTGTCCTTTAGCACACACCCAAATGTATCTATCTCAGCAAATTCAATCTATGAATTTGCCATGGTCTGCTGGTACAAGATACTTTTTTTTTTTTAATTAAATGTGATTTTACTTAATTTTTTTTGTCTTAAAAGAAAGGCTTTTAGATAAATGGAAATGAGGATAGTAATCTCTGTAATTTGAAGGAACTACTAGGTAATTTTGTTTCCTGGAAGAAAAATGAACCTAGATCTATCCTTGTAACAAAAAGAAAACAAACTGAAGAACTACCCACTAGGAAGTTTTCTTGGTGCATGATTTAAAGATACTCTTGTCCCTGCCACACTTATTAGGACCAAAAACTAGCCCCTGGCCAAACTTGAATTGCTGGGATAAGTAACAGCTGTTATTAAAGATAAGGGTAGGTTTAAAAAAATAGCATTAACATGGATCTCAGAGTCTTCAGTTAGTTTGGCACAACATATTATCCATCAGGCTTCACAATTATGGAGTCCCTCTCTTATTTTTAGATGGACTCCAGAGAGGCAGGCTGACACCAATAGTGGAACTTGGACCACAGTTACTTGTTTCAATATCCAAAACACTTATGCTGGTAACGCTGAATGTATTGTGTTCCTGTTTCACATTATAATGGTCAAGCAAAGCCTTATAAAATTCCACACACCCAGGAACAAACAACTTTTTTTAAAAAAAAGAAAAGGAGGACTTGTGGCACCTTAGAGACTAACCAATTTATTTGAGCATGAGCTTTCGTGAGCTACAGCTCACTTCATCAGATGTATACCGTGGAAACTGCAGCAGACTTTATATACACACAGAGAATATGAAACAATACCTCCTCCCACCCCACTGTCCTGCTGGTAATAGCTTATCTAAAGTGATCAACAGGTGGGCCATTTCCAGCACAAATCCAGGTTTTCTCACCCTCCACCCCCCCCACACAAATTCACTCTCCTGCTGGTGCTAGCCCATGGGAGGAGGTATTGTTTCATATTCTCTGTGTGTATATAAAGTCTGCTGCAGTTTCCACGGTATACATCTGATGAAGTGAGCTGTAGCTCACGAAAGCTCATGCTCAAATAAATTGGTTAGTCTCTAAGGTGCCACAAGTACTCCTTTTCTTTTTGCGAATACAGACTAACACGGCTGTTCCTCTGAAACTTTTTTTAAAATTAAGAATTAAAATCTCATGGGTGGTTGTTTTTTTCCCCCCATCATTAGGGTAAGATGGGTGAGGAGATTTCAAGCCTAGGCTGTACATTTTTGTGACAATTTTTCAAGAGTGGATTAACAGTGCTAACTTTGCAAAGTGAAATAAATTAATTCAAAAATCCTGGGATCAGAGCTTTTGGTATTTTTAAGGTTGAGATCTCCTGAAGTAAAGCAGAACTCTGCATCTTAAATGTTAACTTAATTTCTGTGTCACCTGTTGGTATTCCTTGGTAAAGTACCCATTGTCTATCTCTTAGGCCAGATTTACCAAAATGAGTATTTGTCTGGACTTTTAAAAAATAGAATTCTGTATTTTTTCCCTAGAATTTTAGAAAAGAAAATCTTCATCTTTATGAAGAAGGCAGGTTCATTCCTGAAGAATTCTTTAGGTACTTTAACAGCACCATTGAAGTCTACAAGGATTTTGCAGAAACATCAGATCATAGTGACTGTGTTCTGCCGTCAACAACAGAAACACCAGAGAACAGTAAGATCATAAAATTGTTCCCATTTTTGTTGAGCCAGATCCTCAACTGGTGTAAACTGGTGTAACTCCTTTGAAGTCAATAAAGTTATGTCAGTTCAGAGCGTCTGAGGATCTGATCAGTTAGCTTCATGTTTTTTACTATCTGTGACAGCGACTAATAATGCCAAGGCTGAAGTCCCACTGCTTGTACTATAGAACTAAGCCTGATAGCAAAACTGGCATCATTACAGACCATCGTTTATTAACACAGCCTGCAGTTATTTCAGTGCATGTGCTCAGATTGTTTTCACATCAACAAAAATATCCTGGGTTGTTCTTTTACAATGTTCTTAGTGCTGCATTTTATCTTGCACTTGACTTTTTCTTAACTGTGACAGTTTGATCTTTTTGAAAATGTCTTTGTGGATACTGGGCCAATTCAGAGGCGATATGTAAGGTGGTATAGGTTAAGCATTGGTAAGCAGGTCTAAAGGAATTTAAGGTGGCATAGTTTATAGGCTGAGTGTCTGGAACGAAGTGTAAATAGCACCAGTTGAAAATCATCTCTGAATTTGGCCCATTCCCACTAAAGAGTATCATGGATTTATGATATAGAGTCTTAACAAGCTCAGGTTAGATTCCTGTGGTTTCATATACTTGTTCCCATTGCAGTCCTTAATGAATGGATGTTTTGAATTTCTTAAATTTTGTTGCCACAGTGAGGATTCTTAATTAATTGTTTTAATTAGGGCAACATATCCAGTTGCACAGTTACACCAATAAGAACTGGAAGTACTTTAGGCCTGGATACACACAGAGGCTGAAGTGTTGCAACACCTAACATTTTTAGACACCTAGAAAATCACAGGAACAACAATGCAATCTACAAAGCCTGAGTTTGCTACTAGGCTCCCTATACAATGAATGGGGAGAGACAGACACCTAAGAATAGGACCCTCAAAAGTCAGTAGGAAGGAGCTGCATACACTAACTAATGGGAGATGCTGACAAGCAGGGTGTGTCCTAAACCCTGCCCCTTTCATGGACTTAGGCACATATCTCTGCTAGTGATCCATAACTGGGAACGCCTCACCTGGAGTAGGTGGCTTTGGCACCTAGGTTGTTTCTTGTGAGAATGAATTAGGCACCTGCCTCACTCCATGCAAAGTAGCCCGAGGTGTTGGTGCCCACACTGTAACTTTTAGTCAGAGTATTCATCTGGGATGTGAGAGACATGCAGGTTCAATTCCACCCTCAGGTAGAGGGGGAGAAAGGATTTGAAGAGGGCTCTTCCATGATTCTCAGTGATTACAGCACTTTCCTGAGAGGTGGAAGATATTGAAGTGGGTAGGGTTCCCATTGCCCCTGACCCCTGTTGCCTCCCCCAGCCCACTACCCAGCCCCTCACTGCACCCTTGACCCACTGCCTTGCCCCTTCCCCCCATTGCCTCAAGCTCTCTTCCACAGCCTTGCACCCCAGGGCTGCCCCACTCCTTGCCTCTTGACCACAATGCTCTGGGCAGTCTTCCTCCATAAAGCCAGCCTTGGATAGGACATTGCTGTTCAAAACCTCTCTCCCCCTGTATGTGAGGAGGTGAAATGGAACCTCGGTTTCCCACATCCCAAGTGAGTGTTCTAACCACTGGACTAAATATTATAAGGTCACAACCGCCACCTCCTCGTCCAGACAGATTTTGAATGGGACCCAATCCAGTAGTTGGCCTCTGAGCACACCTACTAGATCAGGCTCCTCAGGGGAGATAGGTTCACTCTGAGAATCAGGCAGGAGATAGCCATCCAGGTGCTTAATCAAGGCAGCAGTGTGCAAGCCCAGAAGCAGAAACTTAGTTACCTAGGGAACTCTTACTTCAAAAACTTAGGTGCCAGGTGTGTTTAGGTGCTACAGGGTAAGGCAGCAGCCAGGCAAGGGTTTAGTGAATCACAGTGACATCTAAAATGGGATTTAAGCACCTAAATCTGGTGTTTAGGTGCCTTAATACCTTTGTGGATCCAGCCCCTATAGCCATAATCTAATATCATATGTTAACTGATCAGAGTAGCCCTCTTGCCAAGTGCCTTACGTAAGGGGAACTGTATTTTAAGTTGCATAATACTGACACTCATTTTCTATTTAGATCCAAGAGTCAGTGTAACAAAACCATTTTTGTTACCTCCTGTTGCTGCCAGCTCCCTTAGGAATGATAGCAGTGACAATAACAGTAAGTACAAATTTATATATATATATATATATATATATATATATAATGGACTGATATGATATATGTATATGAACTGATATGTATATTTCCATTTAACACTTTTTTTATGAGCACTTAGAGGAAAGTAGCCTTAACCATGCAAAGCAATTGGATCATTATAATGTCTGATGGTACATCGTATTATCTGTAATTACACCAAAATGAAATGACCTGATTCAGTCAGACTCCAGGGATGCCATACAATTACAACTATGTGGTGACTTTCAAAAATGACAGAATGCAAATCTCTGCACTCTGATTTTTTTAGTGCCTTTAAGACTCACAAACCATGTGACCTCAACCAACATGCCTTCCCCAACATTTGATTTTAATGGACAGAAAATGAAACCGTTCGAAACTACTACTGAAGTTTTCTTAAATTGGCATCATGACACTAACACTGTTGCTTTACTATGTCAATTTTGATAATACTGAACTAGTGATTTGGATACAGCATATTCTAATAGGCCACGTTCAGATGGACTCTTTTTCCCGTCTTCCCAATCTTTGTACAACTCCCAGTTTAATGGGTGTATTTTTAAGGGGTGAAGTTACACCCCATTACCTAGGGAGGTGGTAGAATCTCCTTCCTTAGAGGTTTTTAAGGTCAGGCTTGACAAAGCCCTGGCTGGGATGATTTAACTGGGAATTGGTCCTGCTTCGAGCAGGGGGTTGGACTAGATGACCTTCTGGGGTCCCTTCCAACCCTGATATTCTATGATTCTACACATATTTAAATATAGATGTTCTGTAGTTTAACTTCGTTAAAATTACTGCAGACTTAGAGGGTGTTTTTTAGTCTTTACAGCAACTTAAACAAAATAAATTTTAGATCTAGTAAATCCTGAGCTGAGGGGATTAACACAAAACCAACAAACTCTTAGTATGTTATTTAAATCAAGCATTTGATTTCTTACCTCCGGAGAGTGAGGGGTCTGTCAGAGCCTGATGGAGACTGAGGTGTTGCTCTAATATTTGTTGCAGAAGTTAGAGCAGTACCTGGGTGGACATCCAGAGCCCTGATTTCAGTGTCCTGCCTGTAGGAGAGAAAGAGGTTTCCCATCTTCTGCCCTAATAAATATCTGTGGAAGGCATTGGGAACATCACTGAATCTGCCGACTGCTGCATTGGAATGAAAAGAAAAGTCATCAGGTATTTGCAGGAACTGCAGTGAGACTGGAAATGGGAAGGAGAGTTTACACTGGGGAACAAAAGTAACTCTCCATTAGTAACTTCTGGCTTGATACCAGGAACTACTACTTTCTTGCCAGCATCCCAGGTTGTAACAGTATTATTTCCCTAGCTCTTTTTCTGCACCAACAGCTGTGACATGCTGTATGTCTCTTTCCAGCTCTTTCCATATACTTCCCATGTAACTGGGGTGACTAAATATGTGGTATGGTGGGATGAATGGTGCTGCTCCTGCTGAGGAACGCACAGGGAGAGAGAAGCCTGTGGCAGCCTGCCTTGCTGATGAGCAAGAAAGCAACTCCTGCCCACGAGACAGGAGAAGTTACTAAGAGAAAGGCACTTCCCCCCCACTCCCTAGGGGCCCTTACGCAAACTGACTCTTGGCTGCCTACATTTCTGCTCCCTGCTTGGCTTGTGGCTCTGCACACCAGCCCCTAGTTTCCAGAAAGAAAAGGAGTACTTGTGGCACCTTAGAGACTAACAAATTTATCTGAGCATAAGCTTTCGTGAGCTACAGCTCACTTCATCGGTTGAATCCGATGAAGCGAGCTGTAGCTCACGAAAGCTTATGCTCAAATAAATTTGTTAGTCTCTAAGGTGCCACAAATACTCCTTTTCTTTTTGCGAATACAGATGAACACGGCTGCTACTCTGAAACCTAGTTTCCAGAAGATTCTCACCCTCACCCACCATTGCCACTTTCAGATATTAGGCTCTCCCTGCCCTGTTGCGGTCTCTTTAGGAGGTGTGTTTGGGGGAGATTTAGGGTAGGTCTGCACTTCAAGTGTAATTCCCAGCTCGAGGAGACATGTCTGCACTAGTTCTCATTGAGCTAACTGACTAAAAATAGAAGTGTAGCTGCTGCAGCACAAGTGATGGAAGGAACTCCCTGCCCTGAGTACAGTTCCATCCCAGACACCAGACACACAATCAGATGGCTAGCTCCTCCTGCCACTCATGTCTATGCTCTATTTTTAGCTGCTAGTGCATTCTGTGATAGCGTAGAATCATAGAATATCAGGGTTGGAAGGGACCTCAGGAGGTCATCTAGTCCAACCCCCTGCTCAAAGCAGGGCCAATCCCCATTTTTTTCCCCAGATCCCTAAATGGCCCCCCTTAAGGATTGAACTCACAACCCTGGATTTAGCATGCAAATGCTCAAACCACTGAGCTATTCCTCCCCCAGGTATGCATGTCTCCTCAGCCTGGGAATCAAAACCCTAGCTCCAACTGTAGACAAACCCATTGTGTAGAGCCTTCATTCCCTAGATCTGCAGTTAAGTAGGATTGGGACAAAATCCTACCCCTGACTTCCAGCAGCCAGACCACCTCTCTTTGGAAGAGAGGAATGTCACTCCAGGACAGGATAATTAATTTCCCCCACAAAACTCAATATGAGAGGCATCTCTGAAAATGAATTTAGCACCCCATTTGGGGAGGTTACTAAAACTAAAGTTTTACACCTTTTAAAGTACTGTGATCAAAATATTCACACCCACAACTTAATCTAAAGGTTCATTGTATTCAAACTTTGTACAGTGAAACACCCATAAAGGAGAGGTTGTCAAAAAACTGCAAACCGTTTCCATTAAAATTATTTAGTTGGGGGAAAAAATGGCCAAAATTTTGATCATCTCCATCTGTGGTAATTTTTTAAATTAAATATTGAAAGTAATTATTTTTGGATTCATGTTTATAGAACCTCTGTTTACAATTATATCCTCCCAGATGAATGTCTGACAAATGATGAATACTGCATTGTTAATGAATCTGTTCACAGGAAAAGATGACTTTGTAACTGCTTTGAATTCCAAAGAGCATATAGTGAAAATTTGAAATGTATTATAAAAGCTCTGTTGAAAAAGGATGATTGTAATATAGAATTCTGCATATATTATAAGGAAGTGATATTAAACTTTTTACAGTTTGAATGGATGTTTATTTCAACAGTCATGCCTGAGGATCTCTGGACATTTTAATAAAATGAAATAAAATTGCAAAAATAGAGCAGCATGTCCTGAGTAGTTCCCATAACAAGAAAACAGGGAAAAACAGCTTGTCAGTCTGTTTAATCTCACCTCCTTTCCCCTTTCTGACAAAATCCTACCCAAACCAACTGAATAGTAAACTGGAAGCCACTGGAAGGACTGATTCCATTCTCATTTTGCCTTGATGGCAGTAGTGCAGTACCAATCATATGATATTGAATACGGAGCTGTCACATGTTCCAAACCAATTTTTTCCCCTACTAACATGATTTCTCTACTGAAAACAACTGACAGCTTCTTCTGTCTGGTGCTTCACCTTTCCATTTTTATACAGTAACTCCACACTTAACGTTGTAGTTATGTTCCTGAAAAATGCAACTTTAAGTGAAACGATGTTAAACAAATCCAATTTTCCCATAAGATTTAATGGGAATGCGGGGAATTAGGTTCCAAGAAACTTTTGCGGGGGGCAGACAAAAGGCATTATGTACTGTACTGTGGTTGGGAAGTGCCCATGGCTTACCCCACACAGGCACAGCCAGCTGCAGGCAAGAATGCTAGGAAGCACCTTCGCAGGAGCAGTGGCAGCTTACCCGGAGAAGAACAGACGCCAACTTTGCCAGGGGATGGTCCAGGCCCGCCTCTTCCTGTACCCACTCCACTCCAGGCCCACCTCTTCCCACTCCACCTCCTCTCCGGAGCACACCGCATCCATGCTCCTTCCCCCTCCGCCCCCCAGAAAGTCCTAAGCACCGCCAAACAAACAAACTAACTGTTTGGCGGTGCTTAGGACTTTCTGGGGGGCGGAGGGGGAGGAGCAGAGATGCGGTACTTCCCTGCTCTTCCCCCTCCCTCCCAGCGCTTCCATGCCACCAAAGAGCTGTTTGGCGGCGCTTAGGATTTTCTGGGAGGGTGGGGGAGAAGTGGAGATGCAGTGCTTTCTCGCTCCTCCCCCTCCCTCCCAGAAAGTCCTAAGCACTACTGAACAGCTGTTTGGTGGTGGGGGAAGCAGTGGGAGGGAGGGGGAGGAGGCGGAGAAGAGGAACTTGTGCAAAGCTCCCTTGTAAAGTCTTGCCTGCTCTTCCACAAAATCTGATATGCAGTGGACAGAGCAGGCAGCCAAACGATGTTATAAGGGAGCATTACAAAACTTTAAATGAGCATGTTCACTAATTGAGCAGTGATGTAACTTTGAAACAACGTTAAGCAGGAGGATGTTAAGTGAGGAGTTACTGTACCCTATCCTATTTTTAAATTCTAAGTAATGATTTTGGTCACATTCTTGCGGTTTGTTCTGCATAGGTGGACTGCTGTGCTATGCAGAGTCCCCGTGAAGTCCAATAAGGGTCTTCAACACAGAAAAAGTTGCAGGGTTGGTGCCTTGAGTCCTAATGATGCCTGTTCTTTCAACAGATTAAACCAAGATGAATTGTCAAAGTTAGTCTTGTTATCCAGGTTGGGTAGCCTCCTGTTCCCCTGTTTAAAATTCAAAAAGTCTGACTTTTACTTATTTTTCACTTCTAGCTCAGTAGTGCTGTTTGTACTTTCATGGAAAGTTCAGTGCTGCATTCTGCCATTTTGCCTGCTGTTTCTTTGCAAGAGTTTGACTCATTTCTTCAGTACTGTGCAGCTCAAAGAATATCCAGGCATGCCCTGTGTGTATCCATAACAATCCCTAAGTTTTTCCAGGTAGAATTTGGATCTTTTTAATTAAGAAAATATTATTTAACAAATATCTTCAAAAGGCATTAACCTGCTTTGTTTCCAGTTCATGAAATTCATATTGCATTCCATTTCTTTGACCCCTTCTTTTTAATTACAAAAGATTTACCAAACAGGTGGGAAATATTGAAGTTGAAGTGATAAAATAGTGTGATAATTACTTTGGAGATGAGTAGATATCTAGGGCAAATCCCTTTGAGACAGATATGGCAACAAAACGTGATGTCTGGCCTGAATTGTAATTTCTTGCTGAACCTACATACATGGTGTAAGATGTATTTACCAGTTCAGATAGCTTTGTCAACAGAGATTGTAAGCTACCAGAGGCCAATAACTACAGTGCCTGGATCTTGTGTGATCAGTGATGCATCTGACTTTTTTTTTTTTTTAAGTTCAGAGGAACAAACAGCTTATTTCATGGCAATTAGCCAAGTATTTTGAAAAACCAATTATTGTTCATGATGCTACAGAGGCCCCCTGCAGAGGTTGCAAGCTGTCAGGTTCCAGAAATAGCTTGTAACTCTTCCTGAGTGTCCACGAAATTTACAACATATACTATTTTCAGTTTGCTGACCATTGCACTCTGCCATACAGCAGCTCCCAGATGTACTCACTAATAAAAGGTAAACCTGGCTCCTCAGAGGAGGAGCCTGCTCCCAGATTCTCTTTAATGAGTGAGGGAAAGCTCCCTTCCTCTCCGGCTTGGCGAGAATGATCAGCTGACTGCCCCTAGAAACACTAAAAACATGGAGAAAGGCAGATCATTAGACATTTCCACACCACAAAATATCAGTAGACTGTGGGAGTCTGAGCCTGTTAGGAATTTTTAAATGGAGGGTGGGTGTTGCCCAAAACCTGCTGAAACTCAAGTGTTGTTTGGGTGACTTACCATATTTGGGTTTGAAATTTCTATTGTAAGGAAGTAAAATGAGGCAGAACATTTTTTCAAAGTGAAGTTGGACAAGATTTACTATGATGTCAATTCCCCTCTCTCATTCTGTGGTGCCCTCTTCTCCCACAGTGAGCTTTGTCAGCTTCCCACACAAATGCTTCTGCTTTCCTCCATAGCATCCCCTATCAACTGAACACTCTTCCTGAGTACATCTGTAAGGCCACTAACTTCTTTGGCATAGATTCCCTCTTAAAATCTCTCTGTGCTGTGATTCCAACAGAAAACGAACCGACTGAGAAGCTTGAGGAGCCCTATGAGAACAGTGTAAATATAATCTATTTTGAATATAAACATCTGAACCTAATTGCATATATTGTACCAATTCCCCATATCTTCTCTCCAGGAGGGGCAGGGATCATGTGGTAGGGTTTTACATTTTGTTTTTGGAAGTACCTACCCCTCTGCAGACTTTACTAGAAATAAAGCCACCACCTTCTATAAACTCAAAAGGATCTTAAACAAATTTACAAAAGAGTTAAAATTTTTCATGACCTGACATGTATTTAGAAGACAGTGTCCCATATGCCCTGCCTCCCCAGGTACAAACCTAATTGAGTATTCCTTTCAAGTTTGTGTCAATGCTAAATGAAGGCAAAACTGAATGTTGAGGCCTTCTTATCAGAAATGAGACTTTCCAATCAGTAGTGTCTAATTTTAAGTCAAGCTAGTTTATGGTCCAAAGACTCATTGAAATATGTACATTAACAAATGTGAAAATGTAGCAATTAACTAGATATCTGTGTATCTAGCTGAATACTTTGAATAACTTTTGTTAAAAGTGTTTTACGTAAAAGTCTACACACTTGCCCTTGCGTGCTGAGACTGGCATTGTAGAGTAGGTGAAGAATTTGTGGTAGGTTATATATGGTAACTAAGGTAACACGTTATCAAATAACTTCTCTGCTCTCTGAGATCTGCAACAACATACATACCTTCCTTTGAAGATTATTCATTTTTCCTGGAGTATACAGAGTGTGACAGACCCAGACCAGTGAGTTACAGGAGTTTGGTATAAGGCATATATACTGGCCACTGGCTGAATAGTGTTCTGTTCCCTGAGTGACCAGAGCAGGGGCTGCACTAGAGCAATCAAGAACCTGCTAGAACCAATTAAGACAGGCAAGCAAATTAAGACACCTGGAGCCAATTAAGAACATACTAGAATCAATTATGGCAGGCAGACTAATCAGGACACCTGGTTAAAAAGGATCTCCCATCAGTTAGGGGAGGAGGTGCAAGGAGTGAGAAGGCATGCTGCTGGGGGGTTGAGGAGTACAAGCATGATCAGGCTTCAGGAGGAAGATCCTGCAGTGAGGATAAAGAAGGTGTTGGGAGGAGGCTATGGGGAAGTAGCCAAGGGAGTTGAGCTGTCATGTAGCTGTTACAAGAGACACTGTAGACAGTTGCAATCCACAGGGCCCTGGGCTGGAACCTGGAGTAGAGGGCAGGCCTGGGTTCCCCCATCCCCCCTCAACTCCATATTTGAGACAAGAGGAGGTGACCTGAACTGTGGGTCCCACCAAAGGGGAAGGTCCCTGGCCTATCCCCTGACCCACTAGGTGGGTCAGCAGAGACCGCGGGGATTGTTCTCCTCCCTTTCCCCATGCTGGCCAGTGATGAGGTTAGCTGAGAGAATGGCAGGTTTGGCCACTAGCAAAAGTGACCAAACTGAGGGCTGCTGTGAATCTCTGAGGGAAGCAAATCTGCCAATAAGCGCAGGACCCACCAAGGCAGTGGAGGAACTTTGTCAAAAGAGTAAGGTGTTTACAAATGGGAATGCCCATAGCTTTGCGTAGTTATATACTCTAGTTGTATAACTGTAAAGTGTCCAAGAAGGAAATATGGCTAATGAACAAAATATGGATTTCTTTCCCTGGGCAGAAGCAAGTCTGCATTCTTCCTGAGTAAACCACAAGAACCATGTTGGAATTACTTCTAAAAATAAGATCTGTGTGTAATCAGCAATATGAATTATTTTCATGTGTATTCAAGAGGTCTAGTTCTAGTTCCAAACCGCCTCAGGTCTAGTACTAGATATGGGGTTAAGTTATTAGTTGAGTCATGGCCCTAAATCTCTGAAATGCACATGAGCAAACCCATCCCAAATCCAGATTCTTACATAAACTCTGTGAATTGTGGGAGGGCTTGATAAAAGATGTGCACAGGGAGTAGAGACTTACTGGGAGACTAAGCTAGCAGAAACTGCAATTCTTTGGAGGGAAAACCGCCACAGACCTCAGATTAACCAGTTTGTTCTGTGTTCAGTGTTCCCACTCTGTTCCACATAACTGTGTCTGCTGCATCTACCTGTCTTCCTTTCTCCAGAGAATCTCTACTCTTTCAGTAATGTAATAATTTGAGTATCTGTTCTGCTTGATTAAAATTTCCCTTTAGTATTTACACACCTGCAGGGTTCTAGTAGAGTTCAGTCTTGATCAGAATCATGATTAAACACAGGACTTATATTTTATAAACTGCATATTATTGTTATCTAACCACAACATTTCTTTTCCAATACTCAGTCTAAGGTTTTTAATGTATCCTGATAATGCACCATTTGAGCTGCAGTTCCTGATACTAAGTAAAGCTAGGTTAAAGCTGTTTAAATCAAGTGTCCTGTAGCTCAATTTGCAGTTTAGAAGGTGGAATCCTAGGCTACCCCCACAGGATTTTTCATATCCTGCCTTAACTAACTAACCAAGGGTCCAAATTCTGGCCTCAGCCTACACATAACTCCTGCTGAGATCAGTGGAAATTGCTTGTGTGCATGAAGGATAGGACTTGTGCAGTAGCAACAAAAAATTTCCTCAAAAAGAAAAGGAGTACTTGTAGCACCTTAGAGACTAACATTTATTTGAGCATAAGCTTTCGTGACTACAGCTCACTTCAAATTTTCTGTAAGTTTTTGGCATGAATATCACCGCCAACAAAAAAACCAACCAACCAGAAAAAAACTTTGAAGGAAGTATTTATCTCAGTTACCTGGAATGCTGAGAGTTGTCATTTTATGTACATAAATTAGCTATTGTTAACAATGCTGCTCTGAAGAGAAATTTTTTCCATAAAATCTGTCTTCACTTACCCTGCTTTTAATTACAGAAGAGGCACTCGACTTCATTAGCAGCCCCAGCCTGAAAGGGATAAGCATAGCATTGCCGTCATTGTTTTCTCTTCTTATCGGCTTTACTTTGGGAGCCGTCTGCTGGAAGGTGAGAAATTTCAAACTTACCTGGGTAGGTAGAGACCGGTTACATTTTATCCCTAAGCAAACAAGTATCCTGATTTTAAAAACTAGGGGCATATCATTTGAACTTCACTGAATTGTGTAACTCTCAAACATATATAATCAGTGAATCTCTGTTTTTAATTCCTAACTCACTCCTGCCCTTCCTTCCAAATAATAATAATAATAATAATAATAAAAAAATGCCTGTTGGTGTGCTAACACAATAACTCTAGGCCTGAAATTTAGGAACTAGAATTCCCACAACTTTCCAGTTGTCCCAATTTATGTCTTGATGTGGTAGTGCTTTTCCATTTATTGAGATCTTGTCTGCACTAGAAAGGGTTTACTCTTCTTCAACACTTAGCTGAATAGTCCGCAGTAGCAATTGTTAGCCCTTTTTTGGTCTGTTCCTGTGTGGCCACAAGGGCTTGATGGCCCAAGAGTCCTACATCAGAACAGACTTGATGAACCCATGTAATAAGGGGGCTGCCTCTGGGCTGTCTCCACCCCTCATTGGTGGAATTTTATCCCAGATATTACAAGCCACGCTGAGAACTTCATTTGTTGTAACATCTTATGGCATTCTTGTGATATGTTTGAAAAGCATAAGACACTGTCTGTGGACAATGGTTCCAGTAGACAAATGAAGTCATTCCACTTTATTCCCAATATACGACATTGGCATTTTTTTTATGGAAAGCCTCCAGCTTTGCCCAGTCTGAGTAGCATACTGTCCATGTTTCACAGCCGTACAACAGTACGGAGAGGATACAGCTCCAATAGATCCTGAATTTTGTGGTCATCCTGAGATGATCTTGATTCCATATTTGTAGTAAACGACACATGGCAAGTGCTGCAATACCAATCCAATGGAGAACCTCTGTGTGAGAGTTGGAGGAACTGGTGAGTATAGAACCCAAATAGCAAAAGCTGGAGACAGCTTTGACAGTGTCATTATTCAAAGAGATTGGTGGACCTGGTCCTAGATTTTGCAGCTTTGTCTTTGACCATGAAACATGGAAGCCAACCTTAGCGAACTCTTTTCCATTTTCTGGAGTGCCTCGTAAAACCTGTTGAGGCTCTGTTCTAGAAGAACAACATCATCAGCATAGTCAAAGTCTGAGAGCAAGAGATCGCCAAGCTTATTGCCTATTGACCTGATGGAATGTTGCATTATGAAATCCATTGCCTGACAAAAGAGTGCAGGGGTCAAGACGCAGCCCTGCCTGACACCAGATACTGATTTAAAAGATGCCAACATCCAATTCCCCAGAGGTACATTGGCAGTGGTTCCATTATGCAGCTCTCTGATCAAGTCCAGCAGAGTGGTAGGAACACGTACACCTTTTAAGGCCTTCCATAGTGTGACTTGGTCAGCTGAATCAAATGCAGCCTTAAGATCAATACGCGTGATGTGCGTGGGCTTCTTGAAGTCGTGGTGTAGCTCTGACAACAAGCAGAGGGCCAAAATGATGTCTATTGTGGACCTGTTCCTCGTAAAGCCTGACTGTTGGAGGCAATGCTTCTGATGTAGCAGGGGCTCCGAATGCACCAGCAGAACATACACACATTCCCTGGCATGGACAACAAGATGATCAGCCTGTGGCTCTTACATTCACTGCGCGGTCCCTTGCCCTTACAAAAGTGAGATCACAATACTGTCCTTCCAGGTAGCTGGCAAGGTTCCATATCTCCACACCAGAGAAAAGATGGCCAGAAGTGATTCTGCTACAGGGTCAATAGCACAATTTAGCATCTCTGGGGGGGATGCCATCAGCGCTGGCTGCGTGTCCGTTTTTCAGTTTACAGATGGCATTCTTCACTTCATCCAACATTGGTGCAAGTGTCTCAGTCCCAAATCACAATGGTTGCCAGATTTCCTAGCTCTAAACAAGCAGCAGCTGGAGGGTGGTTCAGGGTGCTGTGAAAATGTTCCATGCAGCGTGAGAGGATGTCATCATCCGATTTACATGGGTGGTTTTGGCTGTCCCTCAGGATGCCGTTTGTAGCGATTACCTCTTGACCACTGAGGTTGCAGATTGCACAGAATGCCAGCTTTAAGTTGAATTGGGCTTAGCCAGGGGAGACATCATCCGCCACTTGGTTATAATATGCCTCATGATTGCAGTGTGACAGGGTGTTAAACTTTCGCTTCAGCTGAATACAAGTGTGCTTATTGCCATGCTGGCAGGCTGTGGCCTTCAATTTGATTGTCTGGAAGGCCTGCTCTGATAGCCAGAGTCAGCGTGCTGAGTGCCTATAGCTAGATGTCCCACTTTTAAAGGGACAGTCCCGTTTTTAAGCCCTCCTACAGGTGTCCTGACTTTTTTTAGAAAACAGGCAAATTGTCCCATATTTTCTGTCCCCCACCCATCAGTAGTGGTGGGTTCTGCTGCTGGCTGGTTCATGCTCGCTAGCTGCTCGCCCACCAGCGGTGAGTGGAGGGGTCCACTGGCCGACATTGGGGGGGTGAGTGTGCAAGGCTGGGAACGGGGCAAAGCCGCAATGTGCGGGGCTGCAATGTGCGGGCTCCCCCTGCTGGTCCGTCAGCACAGCCCCCAGGACACCACCCCACATACTGTTTCCGGCCAGTACTGGCTCTGTGCTGTAAACTGTGGTGGCTGGTGAGTGTGGGCAGGTGCCAGGCAGGGGCTGGTTACATGTCGTCTCTGCTGCCCACTATTGACTCTTTACGTGCTTCCCCTCTTGCTGTCCTCTCACTGCTTTGCCCCTTCAACCACCAGCTCTGCTGCTGCTCCATATCCCCCCCCTTTCCCCCCAGGCAGGGTGTGTCTCACTCCCAGCACTGTGCAGAGAACCAGCCCCTGGTTGGAGCACTCAGCTCACCAACAGCCCGGCTGGCAGGCTCCTTCCTTCCCCCACTGCCTCTGGTTGGGCAGGCACTCTGAGAAAGCCCAAGACCCTTCAGCCTGGGGCGCTGACCAGGAGGACCAAAGCCCTGCATGTGCCAAAGCCCCACACAGCGCTGGTATGGGGAAGCCTCTCCACCTCTCAGCTAAGCTCTGGAGGGGCAGGGGGAAGCAATTTCCAGACTGTTCGTGCCCCAAATCTGCAGGCTCCACAGCAGCCCCCGAGGCAGGATTTTAGCACCCTCTTCACCTCCCCCCCCCCAGCCTAGGTCTTACCCCCAGGAAGCGTGGGGCTGCTCTGTCCCCTAGGCACCCTCCCCTGATGAGCCACCTCTCTGGCCATATTCGCTGAAGCCCCTGCAGTCAGGTTCCCTGGGCACTGGAGCACTGTGCATCCTTGGGGCTTAACCTTTTCCTGCCTGCACTGTAGCCTGTGGGACAGGAGGCAGCTGGGTTATGTCAGTGGCCAGCAGCAGCCTGGTGGTGTTAGCTGCCTTTCGACATTCTGTGGGCAGGAAGAGACAAGCTGCTTCCAGCCACATGGGAGAGGGAGGGGAGGAGGAAAGAAGAGATGAGCTCTGCAAAGACACGGACCAGGTCATCCCTCCCCCAGCACAGTGCTGAAAGGCTGCTGCTGGCCACATTCTGGTGTGAACCCAGGCAGAAATCTGGGGCGGGGGAGCATGTGACCCTGTGTGCCCCCCACCCCATGCCGCCTCAGGAAGATGCGGCTACAGGTACCAGGAGAGGCTGGTCCATTCTGGGGGGCCCAGCCAGGCATGGAGGGTGGGGAGCACCAGGAAGGGAGGCTCAGGTCAGTCAATCCCCCTGTGTGTGAAAGAGAGATGTATGGGGGGGGGGGTGTCACCTCTTCCTGTGTGAACCCTAAAGCCTTAGAGATAAGAAGGTAAATTAAAAGAATCCAGCTACGCAGCATTTCTTTTTAATGTGCACAAGCAACTTGATGTTAATTTGAACGTTTGTACTGTATAGTTCTGATTGATTGCCGTTGAACTCGGTGGGCAAGTAATTTTACGAGGTGTCCCATATTCAGCATAGGGAAATACGGTCATCCTACCTATAGCTAATCGTCGGCTTAGCAGATTGGTGGAGGATGGAGGTGAGCAGAGACCAGGCAACCTCGATATTGTCTGGCAGGTCAGCTAAAGAAGAGAATCTATTGCTGACGTCGCTGCAAAACCTGTTGGCTAAACCGGCACATGGAGAAGTGCATCAATGTCAAATTTCTTCATCATCGCAGAGGGCTTACCTGCTTGTCGGAGAGTCAGTGCCATGCGGGCAACCACTGGGTGGTGGTCTGTGTTCATAGCATATTATGCACCACCAAATACTCTACAGGAGGTGAAGAGACACCTGTCACACGTGGGATGATGTCATCCAACTACTTCTGAGAGATGCCATAGTGAGAGATCCATGACATCTGGTATATGCATCACCACTTGAACCATGACCCAAGAATGGAAAGGTTCTGAGAGGCGCAGAATGTGAGCAAGCGGCAAGAGTTATCACTGGGTGTACATGAACCGTAAAGACCAATAACCCATTCAAGCCCAATTCGCAGGGAGCCAATAACTGCATTTAGGTTTCCCAGGATCATGAGATTATTATGTGGAGGGACGGTGTGTACTAGAGATTCCAACTGATTGTAGAAATGACCTTTGACTGAATCAACAGATTCCTCTGTCGGTGCACAGACGACTATGACAGCGAGGTGACCATGCCGATGTTTAAGATGTGCAATAAGTAATCGAGATGACACAGGCATCCAGGTTATCAAGGAGGACATGGTCTCGCCTCGCAGTAGTAGTGCTACCCCATGTAAGTGGTTGGGGCTGCCGGAATACAGAAATAAAGAATCTTCCACCTCATGGCTTCCATGATCTATCAGCCTTGCTTCCATTAGGCCTGTGATTGATATGCCAAGATGATTGATTTCACCTGAGACAGTGACCTGATGACCACACCTGTAAAGAGTTGCAACATTCCAGATTGCAATTTTGATGAATTACTGCAGATCCCCGCTACAATTGAATACACTGTCACGGTATATTGCAGATATGCCTGCCGACATCGGAGGATGCATGCCCACTAGGGGCTTTGGCACAAGCCCGTCATATTTGCACCAAAAGAGGATGGCACCGGCAAGGCCATCTATAGCTGGGAGTAGAGCAGGGGCTGTAACTGGTGCTGAGTGCCAGGTTATTCAAGTTGGTCAAAAAGTTATACCAGCAAACCCACCTAGCAGATGCACAAAATTATTTTACTGGTATAGATTATAACAGTTCCCAAATTATGTAAACTATACTGGCAAAAGAACATTTTTGCCAGCATCACTGTGTCTTACTGGGGATTTTGCCAGCATAGCCCCATCAGTTAGGGGTATGATTTTTATCACACTCCTAATGACATAGCTGTCCCAGCAAAACATTTAACAGTAGATCAGATTTAAGTTTCTATAGGTTCCAATCCTGCACAGCTTTAGAGGAGTAATCTTGCTCACACAAGGAGTCCCAGTTGATTTTGTAGGACTGGTTCTCACACTCTAACAATTAGGAGCTATTAACCTGGTATTGTACTTGGTTAAAAACATAACACTTCATTGAATATAAAATACATATAAATTCTGCTATCACACTTGCATGCATAACTCTGCTTGACTTCAGTGGGATGCATGTGAGCATCTGAAAGCTAGATTTGATTTATCTGGTACAAGAACATATTGATACTGAAAATAGAAAGGGAGACTTAAATGAATAATTATCATTTGTTTTGGTTATTTTTTTTAAAGTGTCACTATACAGTAATTATATCTGATGCACTTCCCTCGTAGAAAACACATCGCACACCCAGACCAGAAAGTGATGAAACAACACAGTGTAATAACTGTCAAGAGGATAATGAGATAAGGTATTTTGCTTCACTGAAGTCTTTACATACTTGATTTTTCAAAGATGAGATGTATCATTTTTCTGTTTCTTAATGGTTTCTCTTGTTGTCTGAAAGGTGCACTTGGAAACAAAAAAAAAGTGCATATTACCAAGATTCTTGTCATAAAAATGTATTGGATAGAATTTGTGCCCAGAGTATGTCCCTTAAAGTGTGCTTCTACTCTAAATGTACATATGTTTTTTCTGGATACAAAAAAACTCCATTAGGAGAACATTATTGTTGAAAGGTTAATCATTCAGAAGCCAGGGAGAAGTTCCATACTTGTAATGTCAAGGGAGGGAGTTCAGCTACTGAATTCTCAGCAAATGGCAAAATCTGCTTCCTGTGGTAGCAACTTCCCTTCAAAGGGGATCTTTTGCGGAGTAAGATGGATTTAATATTCCTTCTGTAGCAGATTAAAAATGAAAGACTTGTAGGCCCAAGGGAGACCACCTGGGATCACATCCCTTCATCATATATGATTATCCTTCATCTTCACCTCTAGTTTTCAGTACTGAGACAGAAAAGGCTCATCTCTTCAGACTAACTTCCCCTTCTTCTATCAATAATTTTCCCTCTATGTAGTAGAAGACGGTGGAGAAAAGATACTGTCTGCATGTCAGCTTTCCCCTGGGGGAGGAGAGATGACACTCTCCTTTCTGAGTAGCAGCCGTGTTAGTCTGTATCCGCAAACAGAAAAGGAGTACTTGTGGCATCTAAGAGACTATCAAATGTATTTGAGCATAAGCTTTCATGAGCTACAGCTCACTTCATCGGATGCATGCAGTGGAAAATACAGTGGGGAGATTTTGTATACACAGAGAACATGAAACAATGGGTGTTACCATACACACTGTAATGAGTGATCAGGTAAGGTGAGCTATTACCAGCAGGAGAGGGAAAAAAAACCTTCTGTAGTGATAATCAAGGTGGGCCATTTCCAGCAGTTGACAAGAACGTGTGAGGAACAGTAGGGGGGAAAAATAAACATGGGGAAATAGTTTCTCCGACTGGTTTTTGAATGTTATAATTCCTGACATCTAATTTGTGTCCATTTATTCTTTTACGCGGAAACTGTCTGGTTTGGCCAATGTACATAGCAGAGGGGCATTGCTGGCACATGATGCAATATATCACATTGGTAGATGTGCAGGTGAACGAGCCTCTGATAGTGTGGCTGATGTGATTAGGCCCTATGATGGTGTCCCGTGAATAGATATGTGGACACAGTTGGCAACGGGCTTTGTCCTCACCTATAACCCAGTTGGAGAACACTTCAATCTCTCTGGTCACTCAATTACAGACCTAAAAGTTGCAATTCTTCAACAAAAGAAACTGCAAAAACAGACTTCAATGAGAGCCTTCTGAATTGGAATTAATTTGCAAACTCTGGACACCATTACATTAGCCTTGAATAAAGACTGGGAGTGCATGTGTCGTTACACAATGGAAATGGCCCACCTTGATTATCACTACAAAAAATATTTTTTTTTCTCTCCTGCTGGTAATAGCTCACCTTAGCTGATCACTCTCATTACAGTGTGTACGGTAACACCCAGTGTTTCATGTTCTCTGTGTATATAAAATCTCCCCACTGTATTTTCCACTGCATGTATCCCATGAAGTGAGCTGTAGCTCGCGAAAGCTTATGCTCAAATAAATTTGTTAGTCTCTAAGGTGCCACAAGTACTCCTATCCTTTCTGTTACAGACGGAGACCGTGGTGCACTCCTCACAACTTCCTGCCCTCCTGCTGCTTGAATGAAGGACCCAGATGTTCCAGTGTTTCTTAGTATGGGGAAAGGGAAGGCAGGTCATGATGGCCTCTCTTCCCCTGGGGAGTTTTGGTAGCAGCAACAGCTGTAAGGGGAGGTTGGTAGATAGCAGCAGATGACTTTATTTCTTCCTTCTGTGCTTACTCCACAAGGGAGGTGGAATTTGCTAATGAAGGGGGAAATGATCAGTCCTATGAGATAAAACAGTGCTGAAAGACTGCCATACAGGAAGGGGAGCAGCTGGGTGGTATCTAGCCAATCCCAAAATATGATTGGATTTATGTAGCGACCAGCAATTGGAAATCGATTTTGCCATTCACTGTGCTATGAAGCACGGATTAATATTGTGAAAATTCACATGAACCAACTTCAAATTTAACATTCATGTGAATATTCAGGTAGGTGTGTTCATCTTGAAATCTTTACCCTCTTCCTTAACTATTTTTTTTTATTCAATCAGTGAGAAGAAACAATTCCACAGACTTAGATGACCAATCATACTTTATGAACCCAAAGACTGAAATTTTCGGAGTGTTCAAACAATTTAGAATGGCTAACAAATTCATAAACATCAGCCTATGCATGGAGGATTAGTTAACATATTAAGGCTTACATTAATATAGATATCATTCGCAACAAAAAACTCATCCCACTTTAGTACAGTGACTAATAAAGCTGAACATCTTCCCCTTGACAACACAGGTAGAATGAAAAAAATTTGAGACACAGTTCAATGCAAGAGACTACCTCTCCAAAAAATTCAAATTGGCTGTTTTCCCCATCAAGTCTTTTTAAACATATACAATATTTTCTCCTAAAAAGAAAAGGAGTACTTGTAGCACCTTAGAGACTAACCAATTTATTTGAGCATAAGCTTTCGTGAGCTACAGCTCACTTCATCGGATGCATACTGTGGAAATTGCAGAAGACATTATATACACAGAGACCATGAAACAATACCTCCTCCCACCCCACTCTCCTGCTGGTAATAGCTTATCTAAAGTGAGCTGTAGCTCACGAAAGCTTATGCTCAAATAAATTGGTTAGTCTCTAAGGTGCCACAAGTACTCCTTTTCTTTTTGTGAATACAGACTAACACGGCTGTTACTCTGAAACCTGTCAATATTTTCTCCTACCATCCCATCACAAAGTTTTGATCTTCTACTGTAATTAAGTAGCACTTATTAGTGCTCAAACACTATTTGACCGCAAACACTGTGGTGATGCTTGATAATGTATTTATTTTAACTAGCAGAAGCAGCAATTAATTGCCACCATTCCCTGAAATTTTAGCACAATGGAAATAAATTTATTTTATGTCTTCCAGTATGTTGCAGCAAAAAGAAAAAGAGCTCTTACAAGTGTAACTGTTGCTTTTTTCCAACACTGTTACTGTTTTCATGTACTGGTAAGTCCTTAAACATGACAGTATGACAGATTCCTACCACAAACTTCATAAATTTTGTCAGCTGAAATTTACGGTGTCTATTCTGTGAAGCCACATCTAAAGCTAACTTTGTATTAGTCAGCTTAGCCTACTTGTAAGACAGTTTTATTGCACATATAATTATCCTGTGTTCTGAATTTAGTTATTTAACTTGCAGCCAGCCCTCTCAATATCACAGTGGGAGACAAAGATCCCAAAATGAGGGACAGCTCTCACTTCCTCCTTTGGTGTGACAGCCAATTGAAGAGTCATAGGCCCTTCATTGAAAATTTCCAACCCTCACTCCCCAAGTCCCTCTTCAGCTGCAGTGCTATATCATGAAGAGACAGGCTGTCTCAGAATAGTTTATAATATAAATATATTATCCTGAATGCAATAGATGAGTGGGGGAAATAACAGAAAGTAGGGAAAACGTTCCACAGGGGAAGAATATTTACAGAATATACTGATGTGATTCCAGATATGAAATACTATACTGCTAAGCTATTGGACTGTTCTGCATCATTGTCAAACTCTATATTTATCCAGGACCTTCATTCATGAAGCATTAGTATCATATTGGTATTAACTTGGCCACCTAGTTGTGTGGGAGAAAAAAGCACATGGATTTTATTTTCAAACAATACTGTAAAAGAAAATGCCAAAATATTTTGCTTTGACTACATGCTTTCCATAACCAATTAATTTACTCTAGAAGACCAGCTTGCCTTTCATTTTAACTTTTTTTAAAAGCTCTATTGTTAAGGCTTCCCTGTACTGCAATTGTACAACAATCCTGCAAATACACATATGAGCAGTCCCTTTAAATTCAACAGGACTACTCGTGTGTGTATGCAGGAACAGGGTCTAAATGCATTCTGTGCCCAGGATTGGGAAGCTAGAGGAATTGTACATTAACTCTAATTGGGGCCCCTTTAAAAATGTTTGGCAATGTGCTTTGGGATGAAAGAATGTACATACAAGTTATTTCATTATTTATTTCTATAAAGAAAGTATTATATTTCTCTGCTAGGCTTCTACTACTTAGTAATGAGTATGAGAAACCAGCAAAAATACAATTTTCTTTCCCCCCCACCCCCAGGCAGCCAACAGTTCCATGTTTGCTTCATAAATGAAGCAACTTTAAGCATATTCATATTCCTTCTGGAGTGACAGACTGAGTCTGCATTGGTTGCTGCCTAGGATCCATATCGATTCAAAGAGATGAGGGCGAAGTGTGTGTGTGTGTGTTACTGTGAAACCAACACTGAATTGAATAGCATCAAGAAGAGTATGCTGTGAGCAAGACTGTATGTTATTCAAATACCTACCTTGTGTGGAATTGTAACTGTATAGTCCTTACAGCTGATTCTGGCAAAGGAAGTACATGGCCTGAACAAAAGACATCTTTCTTTCAAATGCCTCCAGATACATGTAATCTTTGAAAGTCATAAGGAAGTTTGTATTCTTAATTTACATCCTGTGTCCTCTTGCTTACCCTGATGCCTACAAATGGAGTACTCTGAATTGAAAAAGAAAATGCAGAAATGGATACAAAAACATACTCTGCAGTACTGTTGTAAAAAACTTGCCAGTCAGGTGGTGCAATGGACCAGTGTGCTACCCTTTCACTTCTAAGAAACTGGTTTAATATCTAGCAAAGGTCATATGTAAAATGAGAGGTGGTCTCTGTCTTGTGCCAGGTGGATGTATGTCCATCTCAAAAATCCTCCACAGAACTTGTTTGGGCTGGTGGTCTCCATTTAGGAGAAGCAAAGAATGGATCAAAAAGAAGTAAAGCGGAAGTGACGGTAGCAGGATGGAGCTTTGACAGCATTAGAAGAAACTGTTGGATGTGTGAAGACTCCAGTTAAAATTCCAGCCATAGAATGGGGAGGGGAAACAAAGAATTTGAATTGCATTCAACATCTGAAATAACACTAAACGCAAGAAACCTTTTCTAAATATTGATGATGCATGCCACTGATTCCTTGGCTTGTATAAGATGTAGGAAATGTGGAAGATACTGAGAATGAATTTATTAATTACTGCTGACATACAGTAAAAGCTATTTGTATTGTGTTTTAAATTACTAATAATGTTTTATTTTTTAATCTGGCATTCTCCTTTTCTTTTCTTTTTTTTTTTTTTTTTTTTAAGATGAAATCTGGTCAAGGTATGAAAGCTTTATTTCTGGTTGTCCTCAGTGTCTACTGCTATTATTAAATACATGGACTACAGAAACAAAACTGATAAAAAATTAAGACTTTGTCAGGCATGCATTTTTAAGGAGGCACTAAAAATACTATACTGAAACTTGCAATATGCGTTTTATGCATCCCATTTGTACAGGCTCTTTCCAGATAAACTACTTATTTATCTATTTTAAAGTTGTCTGCTGCAGAAAGTAGGAATGTCTCACCCCAAATGACAAACTGCCTAACAGCTGACTATTAACCCAATAACAGTTTTAATTCAAATATGTCTAAAATATTTTGTTTTAATGTCTTCATAAAGCTCACTATATCTTAGATGTACTTTTATTTAAACTTTTAAAAGAACTCATGGATGCTTTAGTTATTTCCTTAATCTGCTATGAACTATATGTCAAAGGAATTTGCTATATATAGGGTCAAGTAATTATTAAGACATTTGAGTGCCACAATGTACAAAAAGTATTATGGTCAATGATGGAGATTACAGACATGTAGAGACACTTTGGATGGAAACTTGGCAAGTCAGTGGCAAACTCCTATTGATTTCAGTGGGGTCAAAATTTGCCCGTTAGGTCTAGTTTTCATTTACACTAAGTCCAGTTTTCAGTGTTTTAGCAGTGATCCTCAGCCGGTGTAAACTGTCATAGCTCTATTAAAGTCAATGGAGCTATGATAATTTACAACAGCTGAGGATCTGTCCTTACAGCAGGTCAAAGAGGCTTTTGTGTAAGTCAGAATTGGGCCCTAATATCCTGACTTTCATTAGGTGCTGGAGCACCACTTCAATTGAAATAAATGGGAGAAGTTCAGCACCTCTAAAAATCAAACCCTTAGCAACTTTTAGCACTACGGAAAACCAAGCAGTAGAATTCTCCATCTGTAGCAGCTTAGTGTGACACAATAATGTATGTGCCTGTATTTACTGGTCCCTTAGACGAGTAGTTGATGCCTACTTTGAAAGTTCCACTTTTTGAATCTTAGCATGACCGAATGTTTGTTTGGGAACTTGCACCTAGAGCCCCGCAGCGGGACTAGGATCCTGCAGAACCCGCTGCCATAATAGCAGGAGTGGGTAAAATGTCCTTTGTTGCTGGAAGGATTGGGTGGGCAAAAAAAAAAAAAAAGACTGTCATAATTTGTGGGAAAACACTAAATATCTCGTCAGTTTGGAATAAATAGAATTTCAGCAATGTAAAGCAAGTTTCTTTTTATTTTAAATAAAGGTTTTAATGCTTAAATTTAAGCAAGGGATAGAAAGATTTGATGTCTATTATAACAGGAGTTAAATGTATTTTCACATGGTTTAAGCAAGCTTTGTTTTATTCTTTTAGTGGTTAAAAATTGTCTGAATTTTGTGTGTGTGTGTTAACCGACTGTTGTTTGTTTTTGTTTGTTTGTTTTAATAGCATGGAGGGAATCTCTCTCACACAAGATTTGCAGAATCTAAGGTTTTTGAGGGTGGGAGTGGAATAAAAAATGCAAGAAACAATGCGGGAGCAGGTGAGAGTGGGTCCTGCAGAAGCAGGATTAAAAAAATAACCGCATTCAGGGCTCTGCTTGCCCCTTACTGGTTGTGTTGAGATAGAGGAAATGTGCCCATAATAAATGGCAACAAATATCACTGAACACTTGACAAAAATGTTAGACAATAAACATTTCCCAGTTGCTGCAATCTACAGTATTTTCTCAAGAAAACTGAATGCATTTGGAATCTTGTAGCGGTTTTCTTAGCTTCTGTAATGGAACAAAACCCGATGTTGTTCAACTACCTTAATTGTTCATAAAGATGCTATTTTTCCAAACTGAATATTTGAGGAAAATTAACAGTAATAAAACATGAAGCATTTGGAGTAATACATCTTGATGTGTCTCAAATTAGGCTTTGAAGTTCAAATTACAGTTTTTTGTTGAGTTCATTTTACCCTTGATAACAATGAATAGTGCATTTATAAATTGATATAAAATTTGCCTCCAAATGCAATGCTACTAAACAGTAACAGTCTTAAAGCTTAGTTATAAGACGGGGTTTATAACAATGCCACACACATTCATCTTTGCCACAGAACAAGGTAAATTTGAGGCTGAATGACATTCATGTATCTCCCTGAAACAGCACCCATGTACAATCCTTCTGACAACACAAAGTTTACACAATCATAATTGTTCTCATTTGGAATGGAAACATCCATTAGCACAAAGTGCAATAGCATCACATGAAGCATTTGAACTGGATAATCAATTTGACAGCTCATGGCTTTTCCTTCATTTTTATCCGACTTACCAGGTGTTTGGGCCTTCTTAGAGGAGTATCACAAACCTGAATAAATTTAAATATTTCTAAATAGGGTAGATTGTTTGGCATTTGGAAATCTAATAAGATATATATGTAAATTGTTATAAAGGGCCTGATTCTGCTACCTGTTGTGTAGAATTTACTCCATGCATGGTGTCAGTCATCTGCCAATTTACAAAAAGCAGTTGATATCACTGGGACCACTGCTGGAGTAAGTTGCTACTCAGTGGGATTAATGGTGGCAGAAGGAGGCCCTTAATTACTTTTGCCTATCTTGTAAGTAGTTGTGCAATTCCTGAGTACAAATAAATGTTAAAATCCTTCATTTTTAGGAAGGGTCAGACCTTGTCTTGTTGTGATTAGAAAATGAGTGTCCATTTATTAAAATGGAGTGCTTTGTTGTATTAAAGTCAACCTAAATTATTCTTAGATCTCAGTGGATTTTGTAAGGAAGAAACATTTGGAAGTTTCCTTGGGAGAAGCTGAACTTTGCATGCTATTAATAGCAGCTTTGTGAGAATAAAAAGCAGCTAATGGTATACTGCAAAATTCAATGTGCTCTTTTAGAAGTGTGTTTACTTGAATAAATTAATGGTACTTATTTAGTCATGAAGTCATTTTATAAGAGCTTTTAAAAACTAATGTGCTCTTCCATGGGACATGTATAAAAACATCTTAAACTTGCACATTTTCTAGACTCTGATCTTCACCACCTGTGTATTTTCTGTTGCTATCCATTTGTAATAGTGAAACTGCTCAGCACACACAACACAACTGTTAATTTGAAAAGTTAACAGTGTACTACTCTAGCTATTTTCAATGAGATTTGCATTTAAGAATTATCCAGAAATTTTCTCCAGATCGAAGTTGATTCAACTATGTATTTAAAATAGATGTACAGTAATAGTGGCATGTTGCTATTATATTAGCAAATAGTTGGGATGTGGAGATTTCAGACTCTTTAGAGACAGAGGCACAGACATTGGTGGTTGCGTCATGTGAGAGAGTTTGTATATTTTGGTGTAAATAACAACACAATCTTGCATAGTTACATTCTGACTGAAAGGTTAAGCAACAAGGTTTATAAAATGTGATATGTGTGTGTATATATATATATGTCCTCTTAAAAATAGATGTATGCCCTGATCCTTTTTTATACTGGTTTGAAAATGGAATTACATTATATACATATACTTTATTGTTCTAAATAAAGATTTTATGCACTGCCATGATATGAGTACATTGTCTTCACTCAGTCATATTCATGATCTCTCATAAATCCTGGCATATTCTTAAATGGATTTAATGGTATTCTAGACCCCTTTGCATGGAGACTCTATTAAGTAATGTGCAGATATTTCAGAAATAAAATTCTATGAAGTCTTAAGACGCGTTATACCCATTATCAAGCTTCTAGTGCCAACACACATTTTTATTTGTGATTCAGGACACTACACGCAGACCTCAGATTAAAAATTATTGTAGCTCCTTAAGGGTATGTCTACAAAGCAATTAAAAACCTGCAGCTGGCCTGGGTCAGTTGGCTCAGTCTCATGGCTTTTGGCTGTGGTAAATTGTGTAAAATTGTGGTGTAAACATTCAGGCTTAGGCTGGAGCCTGGACTCTGGGGTCCTCCCCTCTCACTGGGTCCCAGAGCTTGGGCTCCATCTTCAGCCTGAACGTCTACACCACAATTTTACAGCCACACAGCCCAAGCCCTGTGAGCCTTATTCAGCTGACCCAGGCCAGCTGTGGGTGTTCAATTGCTGTGTAGACATACCCAGAAGAGGACAAATACAAATCTCAGCCACTTAGGGTAACTTTCCAAGTCGCATATAGATATTCATCATTGGGTCAAATGCTGGTACTTTGGTTTCAATTGCTATGGAAAAAAAATTGTGAACGCAAGGTGTTTTACAATGTCTATTTTTGGAAAGAGGTAATTTATAGTCTAAAACCTGAAATGTTCTATAGAGTTGAGAGAATCCCTTATTTGCTGTATTTTGTACTTTATTTTACATAATTGTGGGTCTCCAAAAAGATGTAAGTCATATTATATTCAAAGATGAATAAGAAATCATTTGTTTGTTCCTTTCCCTCAGAGGAAGGATTTCTCCCCAGAATCAAAGGCCACTTAGTGTAGTGTCCCCAGCTTATAGCTAGCAGAAAAGTAACACTTAGCATTATAACAATATGAATTGCATTACAGCAATGTAGTTTAACAGTTTAGCGCCAAATGGAGCTACACTGATTTACACCAGCTGAGATTGTGACCCACTGGCTCCAAGATCATTTTAGTGTATGTTAGCATAGAATTGTTTTCTGCAGGAACTACTTACTTTATATTTTTGCAGAAAGTTCCTGAATGATAACCATTGACAATTTTTATTTTTAATGAAGATGGGTTGGTTCAGGATTTCACATTTTACTGCAGCTTATAAAGTTCCAGCTTCTTACCCCTTTCATGTAACTATTGGTGGTAGAAATTCTTCCAAAGTTCAAAACTATTCTAAAAGAGCTGAAGTTTCCCCACTAGCGGCACTGGCCATGTGCTAACACAATCAAAATTTTAGATTGTAAAATGCATAAAAGAAATTCACATGCGCTGCTGAATCCCAGAGGTATGAAGAGTAAGGGCCTCCACCATACTCCCAAAAAGATTATTTCAACACAATACAGGAGCATTTACCATAAGAAATTACTGCTCTCCTGATTTGTGGCCTTTTCTGCACAATCCCATGACAAGAAAACAGGAATTAAAAATACAGACATGATTTTCTCCGGGCTTGGGCTTCCAGCCAAATTCAGGGCAATTATCTTTCTTTTTTTGTCACAATGTGACATATTTCTTGAGCTCATGGAATAATATTCCATTGAGATCACAGAAGCTTCTTTGTTTATTTGTTGTGTATTGTGCTTTTCAGAATAGTAAAATATGCCAAATTGAAGTTAAGAAGCTGGAAGGCAACCTGTAGCTTTTATCAGTTTAACTATTACAAGTATCAAAATGTCATGTTACAAATTTCTCCTTATCATCACTTATATTGTGACTGATCATTATTAGGACTCATTGGCTATTTAATCTGTCATGTCCCTGAAGTTAAATATTTAGACTACCCTTCTATTAGACAATGCTGTCAGCATGAACAAGACAGGAAACAACCTTCACCTTTGTAGACAACAAAGCCAATTAACAGCATCAACTAAGGCAGAGAGGAAGTGTCTAAATTCTTGAATGACTCCCTGAGAACAATACTGCAAACTTTCTTGGGCAGTTGCCCCTTTGCCAAAGCTTGGGTGAAAAGCATCCCAGTGAAGTAGTTAAATCGCTCTGTAGCACGTGGACATAGATTACTACTTGTTTTGTACCGTTCCACAATTTTCTGGCACTGTAAAACTTGCAAATGTTTTCTAGACTTATTTATAATGCTGTACCATAAGTATCAGACAGGTGATTGATCAACTTCACTCCAGTACAGCCGGTGGCTATTTAATTCTATAAGTAGCTGATGGGGGGGAAATATTTAATAACACACTCTTCAATCTAGCAGAGAAAGGTTTAACACAATCCAATGGCTGGAAGTTGAAGCTAGACATATTCAGAGTGAAAATAAGGTGTAATTTTTTAACAGTGAGAGTAATTAATCATCAGAACAATTCACCAAGGATCATGTCAATATTTAAATGGAGATTGCATGTTTTTCTAACAGAGAAGCTCTAGGGATTATTTGGGGGAAATTCTATAGCCTGTGTTATACAGGAGGTCAGACTACATGATCAGAATGGTCACTACTGGCCTTGGAATCCATGAAACCTATGAGAAAAGGTATTAAAAAACCGGGGCATGTTAAGAAAAGAAGACTGAGGGGAGACTAGATGACAGTCTTTAAATATGTTAAGGGCTGTTATAAAGAGGACGGTGATCAATTGTTTTCCATGTCCACGAGAAGTAATGGGCTAAATCTGCAGCAAGAGCGATTCAGGTTATATATTAGGATAAACTTTCGAACTATAGGAATAGTTAAATAGTGGAATAGGCTTCCAAAAGAGGTTGTGGAATCCCCATCAATGGAGATTTTTTAAGAACAAGGTTAGGCAAATGCAAATGGGATGGTTTAGGTTAACTTGGTCCTGCCTCAGCACAGGGGTCTGGACTTGACTTCTTGAGGTCCCTTCCAGCCCTATATTTCAATGATTCTACAACTTATTAAGCTTTCAGATAAAATCACTGATACCCACAAAAACATAAAACCAAGAAATATGGATACAAGAAGGTGTGCTTTGGTTTAGCCAGGTTAAAAGAAAACTACCTTTGATTTTGAATGCATGGCCCAGAGAAAAGTGAAAAAAATCACCAAACCTCTTTAGGCAAGTACTAAACTACGGGTTCATAAACTTCTATTACATGGAAAACATCTTAATAGCAAGATTGTTCTGTCAACTGACTTTCCATTAACCATTGCTAAGGCTCCGTGTTGGTCACAGATTCTGTGACTTCCCCTGACTTCTGCAGCAGCCGGTGTGCCTGAGCAGCTCGGGCAGCCCCTGGGCCAGGCACACCGGCCACTGCTGGGGCAGTCTCGGGCCCCCTGCACCCCAACAGCAGGAGTTTGGGTGCGTGGGGGCTCAGGGCTGGTGGTTGGGGTGTGGGGTGGTGCTTACCTGTGGGGGGACTCCGGGGCAGGGAGACAGCAATGCCCCTCCCTCCGTTCCTAGTTCCATGTGCTGCCTCTGCCTGCAGGCACTGCCCCTGGAGCTCCCATTGGCCGCAGTTCCCAGCCAATGGGAACTGCAGAACCAGGGCTTGGGGTGGAGTGGAGGCAGCACAGTGGAGAATCTGCACTATGTGGCCAACCACTTCTCTGCAAGCTGCCAGCAGTGCTTTCAGACCACAATTTTATAACATAATCAGTGCTCTAAAGAGGGTGTTGAACTTAGAGGAATGTATTTAAATAAAGAATACTAAAGGACTGCACACTTTGTTGATTATGTAAGCTGAACTGTACACCGAGCTAGAACCCACAACCCCAGTATAAACTGGGGGAGGTTGAAAACCGGACCCCTGGCAATCCTACCCCCTGCCCCTGCTGCTCACACCTCTTTGCCTCCTCCGCCAAGCTGACAAGATCCCCAGTGGGTGAAGGTGCTGGCCAGAGTGGGAGGGGTGAGAAGTTTCCAGCAGCCTCATTTCCACAAAAAAAAAAACAGGTCGACAGAATGCCCATTGGGTGCTCCAGGCAGAGGAGGTTCTCTGACCCCCCTAAGCCTCACTCCTCTCTTCAGAATGACTCTGCTCCCAGGTTCCACGGGCCTCTGTGAGGTCACTGCCTCACTCTTGTATCCAGAGCCTGGATAATCCTAACACCATGGGCGACGCGTGACTCCTCCGTTTGAGGAGGCTGGGCGTGCCTGGACTGTGGCCCTGTCCCAAGGCCCATCCATGCTCAGCTCCCTCCCCCGAGGCCCCCCACCCGCTTCTCGTGCCTCTTCCCCCAAGACCCCCCAAGGGTTGCCAACTTTCTAATTGCTGAAAACCAAAGGCCCTTTCCCCGTCCCCTGCCCAGACTCTTCCCCCAAAGCCCTGCCCCCGCTCACTCTCTCCCCCATCTCCATCACTCACGCCCCCCTCCATCTCTGCCAGCCCCACCTCCTCTGCCAGCCGTCCCCCTCACCCCACTGCCCCTCCAACCCCTCTCCCCAGCCCCGGCCCCTCGGGGCACCTGGGGCATGGTGGGGCAGAAGGGGGATGGATGGGATCTCCCCCCAGCAGCGGCAGCACCTACCTCTTGGAGCCTGGTCCAGAAGCCAGCCACTGGCATCAGCAGCTGAGCAGAGAGCAGCTCCTCCATGTGGCTTCAGCCTCAGCTGCTGCTCTTTCCGCCCCCAGGGACAGAGGCCAATTACTGAAGCTAACTGGACTTTTAGTATCAGGTCAGCTGTGCTGATTGGACACTGCCAGGTTCCCTTTTTGACCACATGTTCTGGTTGAAAACCAGACCCCTGGCAATCCTACCCCCTGCTACTGCTGCTCACGCCTCCTTGCCCCCTCCACCAAGGCCTTCCCCCCTGCCCCGGCCCCCACCTGCCCCTTCCCCCAAGGCCTTCCGTCCACTGCTCACGCTTCTTCTCCCCCTCCCCCAAGACACCCACCCGCCCACTGCTTCCTCCTCTTCGTCCCCCGCCCCCAAGACCCTCATACGAGCGGAGCAGGGACGGGAAGATGCAGAGC